CATTCGGGGGAGGTTAGTTGAAAAGAAAAAAAAAGAGAAGAAAGGGAGCACCAAAAAATATTAAGAGATAGAACAAAGAAAAATAATGAATTTTTGAAAGAAGAAGGGAAAAATTAACAACAACAACCAACAATCAAAAACAAAAAGTTTCAGATAGGGAAAGCAAGCCTAGGAAAAATATGGAAGGAAGGATTAAACACACAAAAATCAAGTAATTTATTTCGTCTATTATTATGAGTTGTATAAATTGAGTCCAGTTTTATTTATTTATTTATTTTTGTTAATGTTTGAGATTGCTTGGATTTTGTTCTGGATATTCTTACCATTTCTTAACATAGATTAAAAATATGAAAACATAATGCATGTCAAACACAAAATACCAAAGTCCAATAATGTAAAATACAATGCGTATGGCACTCGATGCACATAAAAAAAAAAAGGAAACAAGAGAAGTGATAAAAAATAAGTTCCAAATAGTAATCTTCACTTTACCTCCATTGTGAAACCATGACCTTTGTTAATCAAGGTTGGCTATGGAGTTCTAATAACTCAACTTACACATCTCCTCCCAAATCACATCTCCCTTTCATTTCCATATATCACCCCACCTTATTGGACGTCTAATGAAAACCCAATGGTAACCATCATCTTCCTATTTTGTTCTTTCCTTTTACTTTTTGCATCACTAGTGTGTAGTTTCTCTATCACTATGCATTATAAATAATCGAGATTCATGTATGCACGCGTTACCATGGATCTCTTACGATATTCTCAATAAGTCAAATCTCATTTTCAATTTAATCCATTAAATATATTTTCAAAATAATTATAAAGTATCTTTTTAAACATTTGTTACACTTATCACTAATCAATTTATTTATCTATTTATTTTAGAATCATATTTCACATTTAAATAATCAATTAAATATTTTATCAAAATATATATGTTTACTCTCTTTTTAGATATTTTTCTTTATAATTTATTAAAATTATTTTATGCAACAATTAATAACGTTATCCTATAACATCTCTATCATTGTACGTTTTAAATTGATAAGACATTTGTATACCCACGTTATCTTGGTCTCACTCAATATAAACTTGTTAAAAATATATTTTAATTTTTCTCAATTAAATGTCTATCTTTATTGATCAATTTAAATATATTAATTTATTCTCTTTAAATATTTTTTGTTAAATAAAATTAATATTTTTTATTAAATAAAATTAATTTCATATTTAAAAAGTTTAAATCATGTTTTCAACTCTAATAAATTAAACAGTCGATTATTTAAGTATACTTCTCCATTTTATAATATAATGTTTTACAACATCGATGTGTGATTTACATTGCCTTCGATTGTTTATTAAATTATCAAAGATTTATGTATAGCTTACGCTATCTTAAAATTTCTTTCAACATTAATCATAATCAAAATTAAAATTCAAATCCTACAAATAAAATATTTTAAACGATTTACAATGTAGTTGTGTGATATTCCTTCACCTTCTATATTATTTCTTGTAGGACATATGCATAACCGCGTTATCTTGTATATTATACATTACAATTTTATGAAAATAATTTTAATCTCAAAAGAAATTTTTTTTACTAAACTTAATTTTAATCAGCCAACTTCGTAATTTTTTTTATAGAACTACGTGACTTTAAGTTCTTTATTTGACTCAAAGATACGTAGAAGTAGAATCATATCTGTCGAGTTAAAATAATTTTTAAATATTTTTTTTCTCCTTCTCTTTCACCTTTTTCTAAGATAACTTAATATTTTAATAAATAAATCTTTTTTCTTTAAAAATAAAAATAGCAACATTTATTAAGGGATTAAATAAATGCTTTTCAAAATTATAATAAATTTGGTTGTAAAGATCAAAATTTTAAGTTTTTCAAAGTTTTCTTTGATAAATTTTGATGGTAACTTTACTAATTTTTTTTTTTAAAAATATTTTTCGTCGTACCGTTGTGACTGTCCGGTTGCTACAACATGATAAAAAGTTATATAATATAAATTTTTATTAAAAGTTATATAATTTAATGTTATATCCGTTGAAAAAAATATTTAATTAACTGTATAACTAATTTTAATTTATTTAATTATAAAAGATAAAATTTTAATTAATTTTACTAGATAAAATAAAATTTTCTTCAAAGTAAAAGAATACAATAAATAAACCTGCAAAATTTTTCAATTAATTTTTTAAAATTCCCAACTAAAAACCAATTTAAAGCCTCCCATTTCCTTGATTGTCCTTAATTTCGTAGTTGCAAACAAAACTTAAGTAGCTATGTGTTAATACATTTTCACGCAAACAAAATTTCATGAAAGAAACTTTTATCCGTCAACGTTTGCCTAAATTTGTTGGCATTTATCTACGTGCCAAAGCATTGACACGTGTAACAATTTTCTGTATATATCAGCTTCATCTCACTTTGTCTTCACCGAAGTCCGCCGCTATAAATTTTGGAGTGGGTTTGGACCCCATTCATTAAAGACTCTGTTTCACCAAAGTCTAACACAACAGGATCGTGTTACTCCTTATTTTTTAGACTTGGTTTTAAATATATTAAAACAATAAGATTTTTTAAAATTATTTAGTAATTTTCATTTTATCAGATATAAATAAGTTTTGAGGATAAGTATTTTTCTACCTTATTTAGCTTTCCTTGTCATAACGAGGAATAACAATATAACATTTTCATAAAATTATAATTACCTACTTCTAAATAAATACTACATAAATGCATCGATCAATTCTAAATTTAGTTTCTTTAAATATTAAACTAATTTTTTATAAAAAAAGTAAAAGATAAAAAATGACTATGTATAAAATACTACAATATAAGGTTTATTTTTAAAAAACTAAACCTAATTTTTCATTAATATAAAATTATTTTATAGAATTTTTTTACTATTCTTTCCTTTTTTAAATAAATAGAAAATTTTCTATGAAGTATTAATTTTATTTTTAATTTTTAATATTTTTACACTCACCTTCCCTTGCTTTCACTTACTCTCTTTTTATTTTCTCTATCCTTATTAGACCCAAAAATAAAAAAAGCTTAGTTATAATTATTCCTCTTTCACTTTTCCCTCTCTCGGGTAAGACTTTACTAGATATTTTTTAATATAAACTTAATCATCGTATAAATTAACTAGAAAAGTTAGTACACAATTTTGCTTTATTAAAATTTATAAAGATGTTAAATTTATTATTAAAGTAATAATTTTTAGAAAAATCATGTGGTATTTTGTTAGTGAATGAGTTTTAAAAATAAAATATATAATATTTTTAACTATGTGTGATTATTGTATCACTTGCAACAGTACTCGCAAGTGACGTTCATAATAATAATGTGTCAATTCTTACCAAACTGAATCCAAACCTCATTATCAGATGTGAATCAACTAATACCTAACCATTGCAATAACTTTATAGAGATCTAAATTCGTTTGGGATGACACAATTTCAGAATAATTAGTTGAGAGGATAGCATTTAACTATCTGAGAGAGATTTGTGAATGATATGGTTTCATCACAGGCACGTATATATTAGATTAGTTGAGAGGATATCATATTAAGTGAATAATCCACCACTCTTTGGTTGCCATCGTTTCAATATACGAGGACTACATAGCAAAATATGAAAGCAATCTATAACGTTCTGATTAATTAGTTTTACAAGTTAATTTAAATATATTAACAGTAATTCAATAATAGATTGTGATATTAGAAAAATTTATTAATTTTTATGTAATTAAAATAAATATCATATAATTCATTTTAATTAATTTAAAATACTAACAATGTAGTTAAATTAAACTCTTAATTTTGTAAAATAAATAAGAAAAAATATGAAAATTATGAAAGAAAATTGAAGAAATATACAAAAAAGGAAAAGAAAAAACGGAAAGCAGAAACGATTTGAAACCCCGCCCCCAAGCCGCTCAATCAATTAAACGTCGGTGCATATAATAATAATTTTAAATTTAATTGTAATTTAAATTCACCATGTCTTGATCCCTCGACATAATTTTTTTAATGAAAATAAATATTAAAAAAAGTGTTTTTCATTTTTAATTTAAAATATATTTCAATATAAATATATAATTTTGAATTTTGAATTTAATTGTAATTTAATTAAATGCATAAATACTATAGTTTTTATCAGCTTCATTTGATTATAAATTATCATACAATCAAAAGTTATTAATTTTTTAATAATTATTTCAAAGTTTATTTCTAAAATAATTTTTAATATGACAGTATACAAATATTAAACTTTTTAAATTAATATAATAATAATTTATCAAAATTTAAACAAACCGACATTTTTTCAGCTAACATGAATATGGTACAGCATGACAGTGGAACCTTTTCCACTGGATGTGAATCATGAGACTTTACAGAATTGGAGAAGTCAAAATCAAACCTATGATATTATGCCAGTTGCATAAACGATAAAAAATGTTATTTCAAGCATTGAATTCAACACAACGACCAACTAACCACTCATGCCAGTCAGCAGCCACAAGTGAATTACTTAGTTTGAGAGAAGGATAAATACACTTAACTCTCTTTAAGTTAATAATAACTACATTAAACTTTACTTGATTTTAAAATAATATTTACATTTAAATAGTACAAGAAAATAGTTTATTTGACAAAAGCATAAAGAGAAGGTAATGTTAAAATCGTGATTAAAATTTTCAAAATATTTTCAACACATCAAGAAAAGATATAAAAATATAAGATAGATAATATTATAGAAAACATATATTATAATAACCCAAACATTACCGATACTCATTTGATACTATTTTTTTCTATCACTATTAATTGCATGATGATAAGAGATGTCACACTCACATCTATACTTTTTTATATCTTCCTCTCTCCGAATGTACACGTGTCAAGCAATTGCAAATATGTTTCTTTAATTATTATACTCCTCCTCCTTCTATATAAACAACACACCCTGCGGCACTAATACACACCAAGTGAATCAATAATTTAGCAAAAAAAGTAGTACTAATTAGCGAATTAATTGCTTTGTGAGTTCAATGGCTGGGCTAAAGTTTGCTTGCGTGGTTGCGATTATGTGCATGGTGGTAGTGAGCGCACCCATGGCAGAGGCAACAATCACATGCGGTCAAGTGACGTCAGCCCTAAGTTCATGCATACCTTACATTCAGAAAGGCGGAGTACCGTCCAAACCCTGCTGCAGCGGAGTGAGTCAACTGAATAACGCTGCCAAGACCACCGCCGACCGCCAGGCCGCATGCAACTGTTTGAAAAACGCTGCAAAGGGTCTTGGGAATAATTTCAATGCCAACAACGCTGCTTCTCTCCCAGGCAAATGTGGCGTTAGCATCCCCTACAAGATCAGCACCACCACTAACTGCGCCACGTATTTACTATAACTTTCTTCGCATCTTTCTATTTATTTTATATATATTGCTAATGAATGCATACCTAATGAGTGTCTGAAAATTCTTTTGTCATCCCTCTTTAATTTTGGTAATTATAAATATAATAGAGGGAAAGAGTTGTTACTTTGATTTGATCGATTGTTATATAATTAATTTTGATTTATTTGTTGGTTACACTTACAGCATCAAGTTCTGAAGAGGATGTGTCGAGAATGCAGAGCATTGGTAACTCCTCACTAGTATGAGAGTGGCCTTAATAATATTGGGAATAAGAGTGAGGTGACGAGGGCTTCACTTATGCCCCTCTCCTCTTGTACGAGATTTGTATTCCATAGTTTTCAATTATGTTTACTTTGTTGTTTCCTTCTATATATGAGTTAGAAAATAATAGTAGTACTCTATTTTAATATTGGGTTCTCCCAAGTTGTCTTCTTCCTCTATTTTGGATTCATGATCATCCCTCACGACTCAATTGTTCAATAGCTAAGGGGAAAAAAAAGGACTGACACTCGATTGATAATGATTAATTGGATTTAACTTTTAATTTTTTATAACATATATATATATATATATATATATATATATTTATCGAGATATCATAATTATTTTACAATATAAGTGAACTAGAAATTGTTTTCGTACATGGTAAGAATATTTAAAACTTTAAATAAAATAAATTCAAAAATTCATTTATTATATCATTAATAATAAATATTTTATTAAAGGAACCAGATTTTAAATTTTGAAATATTATAGCAATAAATTATTAAAATTAGGATAAAAAATATTTTGTTAACATAGTATAGTATGTCAAAATTTTAAAATTAAATTTAAATTGAGTTTGATTAAGATTATAACAAGCTGAAGTCTTAATTTATTTAAAAAATAAAGGTATCTTTAATTTTGTGAAGATTTAAAATTTAAATTGAATTAAAATTAAGGAATAGAATTTGAAAATAATAAAAATTATAAAAATAAAATAAACTAAAATGTTCAATATAAAAAAGACATCTGACTTAACGAAGATGAAAATATTTTCTAAAATTAAAACTTAAATTTATAATATGAAGATGTCACCTGTTTAAAAGCTAAAGTTTTTTTTCCTTCTAGAGATGTGTAGTTAAAAATTAAAAAAGTTAAATGAAAGTTGAAAATTAGTTGTTAAACTAGCTAATAAATATAAAATAAAAAATAAAAATACCATAAATTTTTTTCAAAATGTGAAATTTAGTAATTATATATTTTTAAATAATTATAAAATTTAAATTTTACTATTATCTTAAAAATCTTTTATTAAAAATAATGAAACTATATGAATTAATTTATATTATTATTTTGATGCTTTAATAATTTAGTTATATTTTAATGAAATTTAATGAGGAAAGTAGTTTAAAATAGTTAAATATTAAAGTAATAAGGTTTTTAAAAGTTGGAAGAGAAAAAAGAAAAAACTTATTAAATAAAATATAAAAAATTTAAAATTTAATTTCAACCAATAATTATTAGCGTTTTTTTTTAAAAAAAAGCGCTTGGTAAAGCAACGTTCTAAAAATGTTAATCACCATCTGTTTCAACTATCTCATCAAATAGAACAATTTTTGTTAAACAAGCTTTTTCTAGTGTTGATGAAACGTGCTTTTAGCCAACTGAATGCCAAACACATTCTAAATATAATATATTTAAAAAAAATTAAAAAGTAAAAATTCTTAGTAATTATAATAATATATTATCCTTTTTATTTATACTTATTTAAATAATTCTTTATTTTTAGTCTATAATTTGTACCTTAAAAAAATAATTATCAATTAATTAAAAATAGAGTATAATTTTAGTGCATTATTAAAATAAGAATTATATTGTTAACTAACAAAAACATATAATTGAACTATTCAATAAATTTTTTTTACATTGTTAATATATTTAAATTAAATTATTATAAACAAATATAATGTGATAAAATTATAAGGATTTTTCAAACGATTATATTTATTTAAATAAAATATTAATAAATGGCTCTTTTTTAATAAATTTTTTATTTTGAAATTACAGAAACATGAATTTTTTAAAAAATTCTCAATTTACAATATTTTATTATTGTTTTAAAATTTGTTTTTGATGAATTTAAATTTTTTAATATTTTAAAAAAAAATTATTGACAATTTTTAATATTCTATAATTTTATAAGTTTTTATAGTTACATAAAAAATTGTCGATGACAATTTTAAATTTTATATTTCATAATAATTTAAAATTTTCATACTTTTTAATATGTTATTTTTAAATACTATGTACAAAATATAATTCAAATAAAAAATTAAGCATTTACTGTAGTGGAAAAGTAAAAAACAAAAAAAGAAAGGTTGCTATTTTTAATTTAAGTAATTAAAAATAAAAACCATTGTTTACCGTATTAATTGGACTCTCCACCGTATTTGTGCCTACTTTACACCATTTTTTTAGATGACATTAAAAATGATTTGAGCCACAAGATCCTCTCCATCACATCTGTGATTTGTCAAACCCAAATAGGATGAATATGCCAGAAATTCATTTCGTGAATAACCACTTCTAAATCTTTATTACAAATTTTTTTCTTTCTAACTTTTAATTGCAGCTATTTTTTTAATTATTTTAAAACTTCTATTTCATTTTAATGTAAAAAATATTAATTAAAAATAACTAGATAAAAGTAGTTGTCGCTATTTTAAAAGAAAGAATATATATATATATATATATATATTATAAGACTATTGAAAGAGTTTTCCTATCGAGTAGATACTCCTATAGTACCTACTTTCTTGCATTTGTTATTCTTTGTTTGATAATTTCATTAGTGTTCATAGATGTTTTGTACTAATTTTGTATGTAAAAACATTATGAAATTCAATAATTGCTGGAATGTTTTGAAAAGGTTTTTCACTTGCAATAAAGTGTTTCTAACATTAATGAATAATTTAATTGTTATTCACTATTAATATACAGTAATTTTACACGAACATAACTTTGTATCTCACCAACTCATATCCTTTTGTCCCGTCACAATTATCTATTAAACTAATTTCATTCAAATAAATTTTAAAAAAGTAATCTTAATTTTCTTCTTGTGCTTCCTCTTGACTCCCTTCTCCTACCTCCATTCCATCAATGCACCTAATTCCTTAGCCGTTTGAAGTTTTTCTTGCCACGTTGTACTATTTGTTTTTTATTTGAATATAATTTCTTAAAATAATTAAAAATAATTAAAATGCATATTTAAATTAGTTTCAATTTGGGACGAAATGTTAATTTTTTTATGTAGAATGAATAGGCCATCATGAAAAATGACACCACATAATGTGCTGACCAGATTCATGGAACCACCACCAATGTCATATCTAAAACGGCATGGGCTCATTATGCATTCATTGGAAGATGATGTTAAGTTTCAACGATCACAAGGGGGAACATTTTGGGTTAGCCTCTCTTATTTGTAGCATTTAAGAGGGCAAATCATTAATGACCAAAAAATGAAAAGAGGGTAAATGATTGATATTTTCTACAATGAACTTGGCCAATGCAAGCCACAATGTTTCCTTTAGTCAACATTTGCACATGGTCACTTATAGGAGCCTTACTTCTGCGTTTATGTCACTTCATCATATTCAATCTTTGTATAAGATTTTTTAAGCATATTTCTCCGTTTTGATTTTCTAGGTTTTAGCTATTTTTTAATTTTCATCATTACAATAAATTAATATTTATTTGTAAAAATATATAATAATAAGTTAACTAATAACTTTTTCGTGAAATTTATAATTTTTTTTGGTAAACTCTTAAAATTGTTTCTACAATTGTATGAGTTATATAATTTAGTCCCTAAATTCTCAAAATGGTTTCTCAAATTGTATGAGTTGTATAATTTAGTCCCTAAAATTACAAAAATTTTTACAGTCTCCTCATTTTATCTTCCACCCAGTTTAATTCTTAATGACAGCTACTATTTGTTCATGTTAACGTAATCATAAGCTAAAACATGACATAAAGAAAAATAAATTTGTATTTCAATGAGTAAACCTACAAAATGGATCTTAAGATTGTAGAGGTCATCAATTTAGTTCATAAAATTTCAAAATTTATCGGTTAGTCCCTTACATTCTTTCTTCTTTCTTTGATATCATTTATTGCTCTTACAAAATATTGAGTTGTTATGTTAAGCAATAAGTAAGATAATAATATGAGCTCAACGACATATTTCAATAAGAAAAACGTTATATGATTTTTGTACTAAAATACAGTCCTAACATGTCTTCTTCCACCATTTTCTCACAATCCCGATTGTTAAGTTCTATCTTTTGATGTCTTATACCTTATTGTTAGATTTTTTATTTTTTTTTGTAGGGACACATGCATTCATCTACGACAAGAATAAGATGTCTTATACCTTATTGTTAGATTTATTTGTTTTTTGAGTGACACACGCATTCATCGACGACAAGAATAATAGTGTAAGTTCCAACATAAGTTGTGCTTTAAGACTTCCAGGACAATGGTATAAGTTAGATACCAATGACAATGCAGATAAAAGAAAATAAAAATTGGACCATACAAGGGAACATTCATTGAAACTAAATTTTGCAATATCATGCTTATCATTCTTTTGCAACTAAAGCTAACATTAAAGACTAAATTATATGATGGAACAAAACTTAGAGAACTAAGTAAATTTTGAAATCTAAGATTAAATTACATAACTTTTATAATTTTTTTGTTGGATATTAGACTCTCATCTTATATAAAGAAATGTCTAAAATAGTCAACCTAATTTGTCTCATTTATAAAAGTAGAGATGAATTTTTAGGTCCGAAAAAGATGAAAGAATAACCACCATTGTGAGTGAAGAAGAGAAAAAAATCATTCTTTAACAAATTCAAAACAGTTTTAGTAAATATACTTTTATAAAGTCGTTTACTGTTAAATAAGACTAAAACTTAAGAATAGTTTGTTCTTTATTTAAATAATTAGATCAATAAAATAAGGTACGATTAATCATATTTACATAGTAATTCAAATTTTTAGATATTTTTATATTTTTTTTAATTTTATAAATTTTGTTATTAGAGTTGATTAACCGATTAATAAACACGATTTGTGAATTTATTTATAACTCTATTGTACCTTTATTTAGTAGAACTATTTATTTGATTTAAATTACTAATAAAAAAAGGATCAAAACATAAATTATTTTTAAAAGAGATTAAACGGTGAACCTGTTTAATCTCTGGCTTACTAAAATGCATAGGAACATTAACTAACAAAGATGCATTGAGGAAATTTACGAACAACAGTGACATTGTTGGGCTTCTCGTTGTGGCTAGGCTATGGTGGCTATTGTTCAGATTTTTTATTGATTTACTTGTCCAACCAGAGCAACTCATGCTGTTACCTCTATCTGATAAGGTTGCTTAGTGGTTGTAAAATCTTGTCAGTTCTTTATCTCTCTTGTTTTTAGTAATTTGATAGTGGGCCAAACTAAGCGTCATTATTTTGCTAGCGTCCACGATTCTTGACATGTTTTTTCTTAACCCTTGAGGCTGTTCTATAGCTACAGATTTCGGCCATCTTGTTACTCTTGCTCGGTGGTCCTTTTCCAAGGCCCTTTTCCCTTTTGTGCAATGAAATGCTTTTGAAACAAATTTGAAAAAGGCCACGACTAAAATAAAAATAAAACTAAAAATCGGTAAAGGCACAAGAAAACATAAAAGGAAAATTAAACTTCAAACAAATTGTGCGTGGAATTAAGGACAACTCGTTATGAATTATCCCAAATTATTTCTATCAACTTGAGTTACTCAACTTTATTTAAAACTAAATAGTAAATTTATGTAAATTAAATTTAAATAAAAAAATTTTAAAGACCCGTTTGATAGGTAGGATAAGAGTAAATAAAATAAAATAATATATCATATTTGTTTTTAATAAATGTTTATTGAATCATAAAAATATAACTAATTTACTTATCTTACTTTGTTAGACTATTGTAATTTTTTTTATCGTGCAAATAAAGTTGAGTTGGAAAGAAAAAAGTAAAAATAACAATTATTTTTTTCAAAATTACCTTTAGTTTATTCTATTATTTCTTCTCTATTTTTTTATATTTATGTCATATCCTAAAGTTATTTAATCCACTTTAAATATGAAATATGATAATATATATATATATATATATATATATATATTATTCAGTATATTGTTAAATTTACATCAAATTTTAAATATAGTTGATAAGATTTTATTATACTTTTATCTAAACTTCTTAACCTATTTATCCTTATTTTATCCTGTCACCAAACGAGTCATAAATGATCTCAATTATTTATGACATTCACTTTAATGCGGGTAATCCAAGCTAATGCAATCAAGATGTCCAAAACCGACTTGTAATATAGGTTTAAATGAATCAAGTTAAAAAAAATTTATATAATCGAATATGAAATTTAATAATTCTAATATATAATATTAACAAATATGTTTAACTTATCAATGATACTAATTTATTTTATCAACTCTAATAATGTTATGATTCGTTAATTAAAAAAATATATGTTCAACATGACTTCTATGAATATAAGTACGTGTTTAATTTATTTTATTTTAAAAAATAATTATTTCTTTTTATAAGCTCTTTTCAAATAAATGATGAAACAGTTCTCTACGATGGAACAGTGAAACAGAGAGGGAACTAAGGCCTATAAGGAGACAAAGTATTGGTTATTTGTTTGATGGGTACACGAATGAAAACAGATTCAGCAACATCGTGGCAACTTTAACAACCAAATGTTGTCGAAACTGGTTGGAAACATGTCTGATATGGTAAGAGAAGAGATTTTAATGGAGAAAGCCCCTGCAATCTTTGCAATTAAATGGAGAAATCTGAGATCCTGTGTAACTTGAGAACTGACTCACTGAGGGTGCAATATTATTATAATTATTATCTCTATTATTTAAATAGAGTAATTAATAATAAAATTATTTTCTAAAATACTATTAATAAATAAAATATTTTGGTATCACATATATATTAAGATGTATTGCACCCAATAGGAATATGGCCATATCATTTCTCTTCCCATGACCATAATACTCTTTACATCAAGTTCGGATAAAGCTTTTGAATATGATTTAAGCCTTTAGCTTATTTTCTAATAACATAGCATATCATAAATAAATATTATATTATTACTTAAGTAAAAGGTATTATTTTTTTATCACCAACTAATTAATACGATATTGTTGTCTTATTGCTATTTCTAACATTTCTTTGATGTTAGTTTCATATTATAAATTTTTGTAATATCAAGTAAGTTTTTATTAAATTTAAAATATTATAAATTAATTATTTTTAATTTTAAAACTGAATAAATAATGTAATATTAATTATCTTTTAAACTACATAATAATTTAGATAATATCATCATAAGAATAGAAGAATTCATATCCGTATATAGTAGGAACTAGGAATACAAAGTCTAGCATATTATACTATAATGATATTTTTTATTTATTATAAACATAATAAAATTTGATTTAATACATAATAATGAATATTACATGCGTGTTACTATAAACCAATAAAAAAGCTATAAATAAATAAATTCTCTTCAGTAAGTGTCCACGTTTCGTGTATCTGAAATTAGGCCACGAAAAAACAAACCACATGGTTATATGTAAAAAGTTTGATCACTTCTGTTTGTGTTTGGGTCTCATTCAGTCAGGAACATTTTTTTTGTAAAGATTTAACGGTTCAAAATTTTATATAATTGGAGATAATAATTTGTAGGGAGAGTTTACAAGATAGAACATCTATCTGAATAATGAAATCAAGGCTATGCTTGCATGAAAAGAGCTTGAAAAACAAATCAATAATGATAACGTTTTAAATAATTATCCTAATTTGATCATTTTTACAATATAGATGAACATACCGAGATGTTATCATATAATCTTTCAATTGTTCTTCATTTGCTTTTGTAAACTTTTTGTTACTCACTAAATTACATTTTTTGTTTTCTGAAGACAAGATTTTGTAATTAAACATTACTATAGAAGGTGAATGAATTACTATAAAGGGTCGAGGTACGAAATCTTTTTTAATTCCTAAGAATTATATCCTTTGGGAATATATTTTTTGGAAAATTTTATTTCCTGAGAATGTTAAAAATACATTTGGTACATTTTAAGTATTCTTGAGAATGTTATACAATAATTCTTGAAAATATTTTAATAGTAAGTTTATTTTAAATATTATTTCTTGAAAGTATTTAATATTTCTTTCAAAAATTCTCTTTACTGTTTGTGATAATTAATAAAAAATTGTATTATTAAATTAAATAAAATAAAATGAAAAAGTGAGTAAAAAAAATTAAAATTATACAAAAATAATATAAAAATTGAGAAAATGTTATACCCCATGAAAATTTTCGATTCTCACTCATCCCATAGGAACATTTTCTTGATAAAATTAATTTAAAAAATTCTTTCAAATGTTAGTTTTTCGAAAAAAAAATTGAATATTTATACTAAACATGGAAATTTAACTTTCCAACTTAAGATTCTTAAAAAATTTTAAAGAAGTTTCCTACCAAACTTCCTCAAAAGAAATGTTAATAATATAATATCTAATATCATTTTTTTATTAATTAAAATTTCTTAAAATTTACAAAACTTATGTAAATCTGACTTTAATTTAGTGAGTTTTATTTACTGATTAAAATTTATTAAAAATTAAAAGTTAGACTTATTAAACTAAGAGTAAGATTTACATATTTTTCAATAAATTTGAATCTATCAGAAAAATATATTATTAACATATCTGATAATTAATTAAAATAATTATTAAAGAGTTTATTCCCGATACACCATTTCTATAAAGATCTCTAGGTCCATTTGGTTCGGAAAAAAGGTCCACTTTACATCACCAATGAGAGTCGTTGCATGTTCTCACGTGTGTCCCTAAGAAAATTCTACACAGCTATGGAAGATGGAAGATGGAAGACGGTAATTACTATATTTGAAATTGCCAGAAAAAGATGTAGCTTTGCTCCACTCTTATAAAGTATAAGGCATTGGATTTTTATTAATATTAAAAAGTTGGCATCATATATAATTTTTTTAATTTTTATATAAAGTCTTAAATATTAGCTAAATATTCAATAATATACACTTAAAATCAATGTTTAATGAGCACAAAAGTATTTTTTTTAAAATATAAGCACATATGAACCATATACATCTCCAAGTATATATCAAATAATAGTTTGAATGCTTATTATTGCTCATTGCAAACAACAATTTTAGTACCTTGACTACACTGCCAACATCTGACACAACATATACCAAAACCGAATTTTTATGATATGGTATTGTCTATATATAGTCAAGCTATAGCATCGATCATTATTCTCCATACCAAAAATTCAAATTAACTACAAAGCTCAAAGTCCTTGATCACCCTGACCAATATGGCTAGCTCAGTGGTCATGAAAATAGCTTGCATGGCGATTATGTGCATGATGGTTATGGGTGCACCACTACTAACCCATGCTGATATCACTTGTCTCAAGGTGGAAAACACTGTGATACCATGCAGTGAGTACGTCACGGGAAATGGTGGTGTTGTCCCTCAACCATGTTGCACTGCGGTTAGGACCCTAAACGACGAAGCCAAGACCACACTTGATCGTCAAGACATTTGTTGGTGCATCAGAAACGTTGCTCAGAACCTGCGAGGACTCAATCTTAGTACTTTTGCTGCCCTCCCTGCCAATTGTGGGATTCATTTGCCCTTCAAGCTCAGCCCCTCCACTGATTGCAATAAGTATATGCATACACCATATTAATTATATTTTCTGAGTAATTAATCAATTTAATTACCTCGCGTTAAAAATTTTCTCTCATCCTTTCTTTTCTTGTGAATAGGATAAAAAAAAAAGATATGATATTGTCTTTTAATCTTATCTTAATTTTAATGTTTGTTGAATTAGTGAGATATGATTTCATTTTTTTTCTAGTATAAATTTATCTTCTAAAGAAAGTTAAGTTAAAAATATGAAAAATTATGATAATATAATTTATCTAATTTATTATTTTAAAATGCATTAAATGTAAAATAAAATCAAAAATTTGCGAGTACTTACGAAGAGTATGTGAATTTCTTTATGAAAAGGTAAAACCTTAACGTGGGAGGATTCATTTTTTCATCTTAAATCCATGTGATTAAGGTCAGAACTTCAAATTGAGCTTATATATATATATCCATTCACTTTGATTTTTGCTTGCAGGATTCAGTGAGCAGCTATGGTGAAAGTAGCAACTAAGGAATAAGATGGAGGTAGCAAAAGAGGCAATAAAGACGTACGTCGGGAACTCCAAGATATGGATGTGGATCACCCGAATCTAGACTTTGTATTTAATATGTGGGTTGAGATTGCCATACAATATATTATTATATCGGCATATTATAATATTGGTCTTTCTTTACATACAACCATTTGTTACTTAAAAAACAAAAGTCTATCCTACTTTTTCCCTTGAAGAGATAAAGTTGCATTTCTAACAAACCATATAACTAAGAAAAATTATAAATTTATTACCATGACCATGAGATTTAAATTTTCGTAAAATTTTAAAATTATATCCGACTCCTTAGATTTTAATATATGCATAATGAAAGTTTTGATAATTTAATTCTAAAATTACCCTTAAAAAATAGCGTAAAAAATTTAGACCATTTGTTAACGAATAAATTACATATAATTTAAATATTAAATAATAATAACTTTTGGGTGAATTATTAATTATTTTTTATATTTATTTAAAAGTGAAAAGTAAAAATTCTAAAAAATATATAAAATTCATACTTTAAAATATAATAATACAAAGTACCTTCGTGTCAAAAAACTTCATTAACTAGGATTAAAAGATTTAATGACATTTTTATCTAGGATATGTCTTAAATAAATGTGTTGATATTATCAGAAAGAATATTTCCTGTTTTATATTTGTAATATTTGTCACTATGTTAAGAAAAGAAAAAAACTTTTATTTTCCATTATTGCATTAAAGAAAACACAATATTTTAACCATATACACATTGATATACGAGGACCTTAATTTCAACCATTCATTCATGGACATAAATACTTTCTTATAATCATTGATGATTATTCACATTTTATTTGTGTTTTTTTTTAAAACAAAAATTTGAAATAACAAAAATATTGCAAAATTTTGTGTCCTTAATCTAAACGCAACTTGAATCAAACGTAAAGATGATTAGAAGTGACAATAGAAAATAGTTTTTTATGTTTAATTTTAAGCTTTCAAATTAAAGAATAATTTATCAAACCACTTATGTTAACACACCTCAATAGAATAGTATTATTGAAAGAAAGAAATATAAATTAATGACTAAATTATACTAATATGTTATTGCTTTTGATACTATTAATTTAATTTATTTTTAAAGTTTATAAAATTTCACAATATGTCACAACCTGAATATGTTTTTGATAAAAAAAATTCTTTGTGTGTAAAAAGATTTTACATAAAAAAATAACTGAAATAACTATTAATTGTAGAAAAAAAATTCTTTGTAGTTTTAATCTACTAACACTTGTTAGGTGCTTGCAAAATTGCAAATAAAGGTATTTTTTGGTGTATTATTCTCTCTCTATCCATCTATCTATGTATGTATATGGTTGCAATTATATATTGCAACATGTGTCAAATTTAGTAAATGACATTTACAATAACTTTGTTAATTCAGCCATTGAATTTAAAGTATCATGAAGTATATCAATAAGTAAGAAGATATAGCAAAACTCTTTAGGATATTTTATTGCATAACTTAATTTATTTTAACATATAATATATCATTTAAAATATAAGTAAATCACTTATGTTGAATTATATGCTTACATACGTTTAAGTTGTGTATAATTTATATAATATTTTTTATAATGATATACATTACAAAGATTAATTATTTCATTGTTCAAATTCACTTTTATAAAAATACTATTGAAGGTATTTAATCCTGACCCAATATATATTTCTTCTAAAACAAAATTAAAACACTTATTGTCTAAATATGTTTAGCTTAATAAATTCATTTAACTTTCATTATTAACATTTAATTTAACTCATATACATATTTCTTGACTTTTGGGTTCCATCTTTTTAAGTTCTAACTTTAAAAAAATTACAGCTATCCTTTCTTCTTTTATTTTTTTCCAACTAAAAGCAATTAGAATATATTACTTTTAACAAGTTTTATTTTATCACACGTATTTATTTATTTTTCATTTATCTCATGCATATATTTCTTGATTATTCATATTTATAACCCTCAAATATAATTTTTTAATTTTATATAATAGAAAATTAAAAGCACATTAAAATTTTTAGTAAATGAAAAAAAATTCTTTCGTTATTACATTTATTGATCTCAATTAAGGAATGTACTCATAAAAATATTTTGAGATTTTTCAAATTTGAGAAAAAAAATTGAAGTTTTGATTGATGAATGTTGAGTAAAAGACAAGTTAAACAATTTAATTTGTATACATCAAAAATTTTAATTTATAAATATTTCAAATGGACAATAAATCTATACAGGTTAAAAGTTGATTGACTTAATTAACTAAAAGAATTAGAGAATCAAAGTTATATATAATTCAAATTAGAGAGAATACCGATGCAATTAAATCTATTTTAAAATTTTATTATCTTTCAATCTTACCATTGTACTACTCAAGAAAAAGAATAATTGAATAATGTCTTTTAATTTGATTTATTTTGTGTTATTTATAATACAGTTCAGTTTTATATTAACATAATGAGCACTAAATTAGATAATAAATTTCCACAGAATGATATAACTATTTTAGGAAAATAAATTTTTGTTTTACAAAATTTATAAAAATAAAATAAAATAAAAGGTTAACGCATTAAAGGTTGTGTGTGTGCGTTTTACAAAAGAAACTGTAAATTACATTTACACACTTTAAAGTTTAACAAAACTTTATTTAATATATTAAGTGCTACATTAGTGATGAATTTTATGATTTAATTAAATATTTGTTAAACAGTTTATATTTACACATTAAACCTGTGGGAAAATGATAAATGATAAATGAAGCTTTCAGGATGAAAGACTGCTTCCATTTAGCAAACTTAAACAAAAATGTCCCTAATGCACCACTTAGTTAATATTGCATCTACTCCAATTCCAATTTCCCTTCAAGCATTAAATTTAAATTTAGTACCTCAATCCTGTCACTTCCCCTCTTGTCAATGCCACCCTCAATTATTTTCACTTTAAATTTGCATCACTGTCTACTTAACTTCATGACCTTTTCGTGATTCACTTATTGAATATTCACAACTAATCAACAATATCTAAATATTTTATCTGGTAAATTCTTTGTAAGCCTAATCAAACTTCTACCATATATCTAATTATTACAATCACAATTTTTGTCTCTAAATATTATCGCTTAAATTTATCCAATTTATTATCCTTTTTTATACTAATATGATACTGAAGTTGACGAAGGTAAATAGACAAATTAAGGTTGGTCATAAGTGATTGATTAGAGAAAAAGGATTTTAATTTTTCTTTTTTGTGCGTTGCGGGGTTTGAAGGACATGCTTCAGTCATGGGAAAGGGCTAAGCTTGATGTGGCCAGTTCTCAAGAAGGGACGGTAGAACGATAAAAAAAAGATTAAGTGGTTGTCATATAAGGCTACATGGTGACTTTACAGTGATGAGGAACGGAGAAGACAAAAGGGTCTGAATATGCTATTTTTTTAATTTAAAAAAATAATTTAATAAATGCATTAAGTATTAAATAAGAAATTAGAATGTTTTTTCGTTTCTTTTGCATGAATCTTTTCATTTGTATTTAGTGATGGAATAATTTTTAAGAATTTATAGCGAATTGTGTTATGAGAAAATGCTACTCAACACACTTTTACTACAATTTCTAACACATTCCACAATGTGATACTAAATAAAAAAATTGATCATTTAATTCTTAATCAGTGCCTTTTTTTTCTTCTTCTTAGAATACTCATTAACACCACCTTTATTTTTAATATTATTCTAACGATAGCCTTCAATCAATTTCCAAATATAAATATTAATATACTATTTGATTATATGGAAAAATTGAAATCAATTGGAAAGGAAGGAGAGGGAAATTTTGTTTATAAAATTATTTTATTTAGTTTACTAGAGCATTTTGACCAAAAGGGGATAATTTAAAAAAAAAAAAAAAACAAATAGCATGCTCTTTTGAATTTTATTTTATTTTTATAGTCAAACCTTGGGAGTATATATATATATAATTAAAGAAATGCTGAATTAAGTTGTGCACCTAGATACACTATTATATTATACTAAAAATGAACTAACCCTAAACTCATTTAGTATCAAAGAATTATTTAAATTTTATAAGAATTCGTTTCGTAATATTTCTAGTGAATAAAAAACATCTTAATAATTTATTGTTGAAAAGGTGGATGATAGAAAAAATCGGTGCTACATTGAAAATGGGTACAATGATTTACTTCCTGATATGTAGCAGTGATTCCAGTTCAGTGTTTATAAATGTTACTTCAATGAGTTCTTACCTTCCTTTGAAATATAGACATAGTTATGGTTGGCCTGGATCTCTTTCCTCAGATAGTAAATGTGGCATTTAACTTACCCAACCATAAGCCATTATGGCACTGAATTCATCTCAACTACCAAATAGCACAGGCACATGGCTGGCCACATGCACTTCCTGCTTCCACCGCATAGCCCCATATCCATATACCATACCACACCCTTCTTCCATTATATATATAAAAGCCTCAACCCACAATAGAGTAACTCAAAAAAGACCATAACTTGGAATATAATCTTTAGAGGTAAGGCTACAATACATAAACACAATCTCATGGCTAGCTTGCAAATTAGGCTTGTTTGTTTGGCAATTGTGTGCTTGGCACTTGGCGCAACCATTCCCAAGGCCCAAGGAGCAGTGACATGTGGTCAAGTTGTGAACAACTTGACCCCATGCATTTCCTATGTGGTTTATGGTGGAAACATGGTTCCTGCCCAATGCTGCAGTGGTGTCAAGAACCTCAACAGCATGGCTCGAACCACACCAGACCGCCAAACCGTTTGCAACTGCATAAAGAATGCTGTTAGCAACAGTGGTTTCACTTACACTAGTTTCAATCTTAATCTTGCTGCTGGCCTTCCCAGGAAATGTGGTGTTAACATTCCTTACCAGATCAGTCCCAATACAGATTGTAGCAGGTACTTACGTTATATTATAGGAAAATGTTAATTAGTGCTTTTAGAACATTGATTAAAGAATTAAAACTAAAATTATTTTATTAGAAAACATAAAATAAGTGCATTCTCATTTTTAAACGTATTCTAACATGAATTTTAATTAATACGAATTACGGTTTAATAATTCTTTAACTAAGGTCTTAAAAGTACTGGTTAATTAGTAAGACTCAATATTATGATTTATTATGGTTATTTTTTTATCGTGCATCTAATTTCAATGTTTGTTTTTGTTTTGATGCAGGGTGCAGTGAGGTTGATGCATGATGTATAGAGAAGTGCCTCAAGAGGGATGCTATGTTGGTAGTGTTTAAATAAGAGGCCACATGACATGTCATAACATGAGCATGACTGGAAATTGCTTCTTTATGGCTTGTACTAGTTTTCTTGTGTCTGGAGATGATAGGGTGTAGCTGAGGTCGTAGTGCTGTTTTGTATGCCTATTGTAGGCATTAGTAGAAGATAGTGTCATTAGAAGAAATGGGTTTGTAAGCTGCTGATGTTCCTCTTTAATGATATAATTTTGAGTATTACTCATCTTAGCTAATTGAGGCAATGAAGTATTTAAAATCCCTCCTTTGTTCAGTTTACATATAAAATTGTCTTGTATTTTTTTTTCGTATAAAATGATTACTAAAACTCTAAATACTTAAAATGAACATTATTTTATGCATAGTTTTTTATATTAAAATAAATAAATAACAAGTCTTTTAGATTATTTTGTTTCCTTAATAAGTACCACAATCAAAATATTTTTGTTGTCCATAAGCTGAGTTATAATCATAGATTTGAGAATTAAATCCAACCAATTGGTTGAGCTGGTCCCATTTTGAGCTGACCACTAGCAAGATTGAACTCGAGCATTACTGGTTAAGCTTAAGCACTTCCCCATCTGCACATGCATATAGTATAGTGTCAATATCTAACATGAATGGTAACAGACGTTATATCCATTTGTTATTTATAAAAACATATTCATAATCAATGCAAAATCCTCGCTTGACGGATTTAATTTAGACGTAGAATGGATAAGTATCCATATCTATTTACCTTACATATTATTAAATTATAGTTTTATACTTTATTTAATGTACATATAATTTATTAAATAAATGAATAATTATTAGTTCATACTAATTGTACCTATAATTTTTTTTAAATAAAGGTATAAGGGTTGACATTATAATACCCTGCACAAACTCTATTTATTACATTATATTTATTATATAGTTGCAGTGAATATCTATTATTCCTATAAAATGTTTATTATCACATTTTTGTTTAAATATATTATTAGTAATAATTTAATTAGTTAATAAAAAAATATTATTTATATGAAACTATTTAAAAATGTGAGGCAATAGATATTTTCAAGTGGTAACAGAGTAATCATGATTTTGAAGTCAAGGTGATATGAAATATGAGAGAAAACTAATGCCTTTGATCACTTTTGACAAAAGGTTAACACACTTTTAATGGTAATAAAAATTGTATGTTTCTTCATTCTACAAATATAGATAGCAAAATTAACAATTATGAGTAGTACATGTATTATGTAACATGAGATACAAAAACAGGTTGAAAAATAATAAATTTTTACATCCTCCAAAATCAAATTTTAACTCCAAACGAAAGGTTCAAAACTTGCTAGCTAGTAGTAAAAATTGATTGTGACTCTTCACAAGTTGAGTCATAATATTATATTATATTATATTTATTTTAGTTAAACTAATCTGTAAGTTCTTCAATTATTTAACAACTTTTAACTAAATTTTTATATTTACAAAAATTATAAATAAAATTTTAAAATATTTTCATATAACTTATAAGATGACAATTTTGCCTGCCTAACACCTCACTCGACCAACCACGCATCCTTTAAAAAGGGTGTACAAGACTGGTGTTCTCTCACTAACCCATTTCAATTCCACATTAATTTTGATAAATTTAGATTTTTAAAATTAAATTTAGTGTATTTTGAAGATAAATTTGGGTCATAGTTTAGGTTGCCCTAACGTGACTTTTTTTTTTAATTTATATTTTTAAGTAATTGTGTTAATAATCAAGCTTTAAAATTTGATAAATAATATTTTGCATATCATAATATTATATTTATATTGATACAATTTTTTAAAAAATATATGTTGTAAAATATACTTTGATTTTAATTTTATATTTTGTGATTTAATTATACATAATAATATTAAGATTGATATATTTTATTTATAAGTTGAGATAATTCAATCATGTTCCAAATTATTAGATATCGATCAAGTTGAATTTGAGTTTAAAATTATGATCTTATCAAAAACTTGGATTCGAATCTTCTCCCATTGTGGCGAGAACTGAATAGCCAATTTCATCTTATTTATGTTAAACTAAACACATGAAAGCAGAGTTCGGGGAGAATAATTTTGTTCAAGTTACCTGTGAGAACTATATGGATGACATTGATAAGGTTAAGTCAGGTCTTAAAAAATTAATACATTTTGACATGAAATTTTAAATCCAAACATTGTAGCATTTAAGGGAAGACCTAGAGAAGAAGAAAACGATATATGCTGAGTCTTTTGCCATGCATTGCATATTTCCCAATATAACACGCATAAGCGCCCATACCTTTACAGAATTATGTCAAATTTTAAGATCTTCAAGTAAAGTGAAAGATTCTTTGAAATCCACGGTTGAAGAGAAAGTTGCCAAATTCATTCCAATAATTGGTCATAATACAAAGAATCAAACTGTATTTTTCTTTTTCCACGGTTGAAGAGCATGTTTTGCACGGTATCATATCTTTAGTGAAACAATACCTTGTCCAACCAAATGGTGTAGATTTACTAGCACAAATTCTTAGTAATAGGAAATTTTATCCTTTCTTCAAGGTAAATAATAGTGTTTACTATTTTGTAAGGCTTATGATATGTCTATGTTTTTTCATTACTAACTTAAGTTGTATTTAATAAAATAAGGATTGCATTGGAGTGATAGGTAAAACACATATTCGAGTCATGGTCCCATAGATAGAAGCCCCAAAATTCCACGGTAAGAAAGAGTATCCCACACAAAATGTCTTGTCAACGTATTATTTTGATATAAAATTAACGTATACTTTAATGAAGTGGGAAGGGACAACCTTAAATTCTAGGATTCTTAAAGATGCATTGACTAAGGAAGGCCCTTTACTAATTCATCAAGGTTAGTCTGATGACCATGAATAACCATTACAGTATATTGTATAGTTGTCTATTTTCTAATATACTGAGTTATATATGTATATATCTTTTTTGTAAGGAAATATTTTCTTGGAGATGCAGGTCTTACGCTAAAAGTGGAGTTTTAACGTCATATTTGAAGGATTATTCATCTCGAAAGCCATAAAATTTCAGAGTTATTCCATTTGAGACACTCATTATTGCAACATATGATTGAGAGATCATTTGATGTTTAAAAAAAATAAGGGATAGAAACAAGTTGTATTACTCATTTTAGACTATGACAGAAATTGTCATTGCTTGTTGCATATTGCATAACTTTTTTATGAGAGTTGATGTTGATGAAAAACTATTTGTTGAAGTATACCATAAGTTGAAACATCGTGAGATATATCAATCTGTTACTCAACTACGTGATGAAGATTATAGGCAAGGTGTAACATCCAAAACAAACTTTCATATAATGAACTTCTTATCTCTAATTCTTAGACCTGGAATGGAGGAAACATTTTGTCTTTATTATCACTTATATATTATTTGTTATAATAAATAAAATGATTTCACGTGTCGTGAGCCATGTAAACATAATATGTAACATCCAGCCATGATGTAAAGAATAATTAATCCCTTAATTTAATTCCCATTAAATTTTAAATATAAAATTATTTAGAAGCTAAATTAACAAACTTTAAAAAAATAAACTTCAAAGCATGCATTAAGAATTAAAGCCTAAATGATGATAGAGACTAAAATGTTTAACAATTGTATATGTTAATAACTAAAATGATCAATGATTACATATGATAAAAATTAAAATGACATTTTATTTAGATTATGAACTATGTTAATGAATTTTTGAAATTAAAAAAAAACTAAAATGAGTGGCAATTTCATAAGTTAGGGACTAAAATGTTATTTTACTTAATTTAAGGACTATTTTAACGAATTTTAAAATAAATAGAACTATTTTAATGGTTTACTCTGTACTTTTTTTATTGTATCAAATAAGTGAAAATAATTTTTCTATTTTTTTAAATTTATATATAATAAAAAAATAGAAGAAATAAGAGAAGAATTTTTTTTATGGATCTCACCACAAAAAAAAATTATTTTTCTTTTTAAAATATTAAAATAATATTAAAAGAGTTAAAAATAATTAAGAAAACTATTATAATTAAAAATGAAAATTTTAGATTAATTTTAATTTTAAAAATATTTTTATTTTATAATTTAATTAATTTCAATTTTTTTGTTCATTAAAACGATAAAAAAATATTATTTTTGATTATTTTAACTAATTCAAATATCAAATATTTTTTACTTTATTTCTATTTTATTTTTCATTTTATGATTTCTTTCTCTTCTATTATACATATAATCTAAAGAAACCATTAAGCATGGTATAATTTTAAAAATTATTTTTATTTTTAATTATAAAATTACTATTTATTTTATTTTGTTTCATATTTTAAAATATTTACATAAAAATAAAAGAATTTCATTTTATATAAATACTTTAAAGTATAAATTAAAATAAAAAGTAAGGTGATATTTTCATAATTAAAAAAATTACCTCCTTAATTTTTCATCTCATTTGTGTTAGTTGAAATTTCTTTTTGGCGTCAAAACCAGTTTCTTTCATCACGGGACCTTTCTCGCTATATACAACCTTCAGAAACTTCACCAAAACAAGGAAACATGTACCTAACACATCACCCACTCCACTTTTAAGCGTAATGAACCCTTGTCATAAAAAACACTGCATAGACGCCGCACCAAGCATACGTGCCCCCCACAACAACCAAATCACACCAATGCCCTCAACAATCACTCCCTCAAGTGAGTCCCCACCGTCAACGTTGTCTCACCTTCCCATGCCTAGAAAGATTTGTAATATAATGGTTTACACTTTAATTTATTTCACTATCCATCTAAGCCAATAATAAGTTGTTCCTATGAATCTTTGTTACTCCTATATTATTCAACTTTTTCATATTTTACTAGAATTTTTTTCAATTGGTAAACCAAGAAATTTAACAAGTTATTGTTCTAAAAATTAAGTAATGGTTACTTAACAGTGAAAAACAGTTAAACTTTTAAAAGTAATTTCATAAAAAAAAAATACTTTTGAAGTATAAGACAGTACTAACATCATTTGAAATAACATGGTCATTAAAGTTAAGAAAATTATTAGAACAATTTTTTATAAATATAAAGGTCTTAAACTAAAAGACAAAAAATTATGATTGCAGAATAAAAGTATCTGAGAAAAAATTGAAGATAAAAAAATGTGTTTTAAATCTTTACATGTATACCTTAAAATTGAACATGTATCAAAATATAAAAAAAAAAAAAGTAGTGAATGAAACACGTTTATGACTTTTAAAGAGTTTTATCAAAATTTTGAAGAAAAGTACAGTAAAATAAATATTTATAAACTTGTTAAAAATAGAGAAAGAAAATTTATAAATTTAGATCATGTTAAACATACAAAAGAGCATCAAAGTTAAATGTGAGAATTATTTTTGTAAACTTTTTAGTTATAAACAAAGAGCAAATACAAATATAATAAGATTAGAAATGCAAGTTATTTATCTAAATTTAACAAATTATCATAGATTTTAAATTAAAAAAATAAAGAAAACTCTTAAGAAAATGGATAATAATAAAGCAGTTAATTTAATAATATCCTTATTGAAGTTTGAAAAAACAAACAATTAAGTGACTTAATGAAAACATGTATGAATGGAAAAAGACTACTTTGATCTTTATATACAAAAACAAAGATGATAATCAAAATGGTGCAAACTATAAAATGATTAAATTTATGAATCACATTATGATGTCATTGTAAAAAAGTGATTAAAAATATATCAAAGGATGAAACTAGAATTGCAAAACATTAATTTAATTTTATATTAAAAAAATTTACAACAAAAATTATATATCTTTTACAAAAGTTGATGGAAAAGTATCACTGCAAAGAAAAAATTATTTATAATTTTTATTGCCTTGAAAAAAAAACATATGATAATATACCAAGAGAAATATTATAGAAGACTTTAAAAAAGATAGAAGTTTAAATATCATATATTCAAGTTATACAAGACATGTATGAGAGAGTAACTATACGTGTAAGAACTTCTAAAAACATATTTAGAGATTTTCTTATAAAGTTAAATTTACATTAAGACTTACTTTGAGCCCTTGTTTAACCTAGTCTTAGATATGCTTATAATTAATTTAAAAAAATTATCTATAAATACATATCTTTATAGAGTGTTAATTAAAGATTTAAAAGAAGAGATTAATACTAAACTTAGTTATGAATGGAGAGTTTAGAATCTTAGAATTTTTACTTAAATAAAAGTAAGACAAAGTATAAGTATATAATTTTAATACAATAAATAAATAAATATCATGTGTTGAAATTTTAAATTTGATATGATATTATATTACAAGTCTTAAAATTTTAATAATTAAAACTAATTTTTTAAAATAATAGAAAAATTAATAAAATATTACTCATATAATACAAGTAAGGGCTAAGCAGTTAAAGTGGAATAAAAAACATAAAGAATTGTTTATAATTGTAAAACACTTAATAAAATAAAATAAAAAATTATTATTATTACAATACAACCAAATTGTCCTATTAGACCTTAAAAGAATAACACGAAAAAGAGTAGAACAAAAAATTATATATACATAAAAATATTAGAATACACTTATAGTAAAAAAATAATAATTAAAAATCATCTTAAATAATTTAGTCACATATGATAAGACTTTTAAAAAATAGATAACATAACTTTTTACTTCGAAAAAAAAACTTATAAAAATTATTAAGAGTAATAATAATTTTAAAAAATTATTTTTTAATCAAATTTAATATTGTCAAATTATTTATATAACCAACTTCACTTATTCATTTGATAACGTCACCTTAGCCAAGCCTAGAGTCACTGTCATTTGCACCAACCCATGCCACCACCTTAGCTATCCTTGCCAACCAGGTGTGGCAGACAAGTCTTTATCAAATGTGAGTGGGGACAAGAGGCTGGTTAAGAATAAAAGGAACGAAAGAAACGGTGCCAGGAAAATATGGGGACCAGTTTCGGATCTTTTTTTCTTTCCTTTTCTTTCCTTTGTCTTTTTGCTTTTACCTTTTTCTCTGTTTGGGAGTTTTCTTCTAATTGTGAGGGAAACTACAAAAAATTTTCCATCCCATACATAAACAGCTGTTACTGCTGTTGTCAGGAAACCCAAAAATCCAGGGGATGGAGGATAACAAGTAGATCAACTCAACGATCAAAAATAAAAATGTCCGAAGAAAAGTTTACCGGGGCTCTTTGTTAGGTCTCATGATGCTCATGAAAAGAAAAGGATAATTATATATCATTTGGAACTCCAACCTTTTGTGTTTGGATAAGTACATGTGCAATCTGCTATATAATAAACAACAAAGGATGTATTTCATGGCTTTACATAAAAGAAACCTCCTAACACTACCTACACGCAAATTAGAATGAATATTATTGTTTACCTTAGCAATACATATATACATACACTTCGCTAATCTGTACTTCGCAGAACTGGGATTGATCAATGTAGCGGCTGCAGCAAGGTCTGAAGTTTGGGGTTGTTTGGGTGCAGAGCTCTAGCGCTATAAGCAGCTAGGTAAGATTAGGATGAAATTCAAGGATAGCATGTTTACTCAGTTGAATTAGTTTCAAAATCCAAAACATGTCTATCCATTCGGTCCAAAAATGTACTTATTGACATCCTTAAAATTCTGCTTTCTTCTCTCAACAAGTCCAGCTCTTTCTTCAAATCGGAGTTCTGCTCTTGAAATTGGGTATTCTGCCTACGAAGTAGTTCATTTTCCTCCATTACTTGGCCTATTTTCATCTTCAATTCAGTGTTTTCCTCTCCTAACATGACATTTTTCTTTGTTAAATCATCCTGCTAATCAAAGAAGTTAATTTTATTTGAGATGATTCAATGTTGAAAAGCTAAAGATATATATGACAACACCCAAAAGAATAAAGCAGAATAAAATCTCACATCATAAGAGCTCGACTTTGGGGCAGTATCCTCCACTATGAGAATCTCACCATTGAGCTCTTGCTCTCTGTCTACTTCGTCAGCATTGCTCAAATATGTCGTGGTGTCCTCAACCACCACTACCAGGTTTTCAAGATCCATCTCTTGCTCTCTACGTACATTGCCACAAATGGTCAAATTTGGGGAAGTGTCAAATGCTATGAATTTTTCACGATTGAACTCTTGCTCTCTGCCTTCTTCATCAGCAATGCTCAAATTTGTCGAGGTGTCCTCAACCACCACTACCAGGTTTTCAAGATCCATCTCTTGCTCTCTATGTACATCACCACAAATGGTCAAATTTGGGGGAGTTTCCAATACTATCCAGTTTTTGAGATTGATCTCCTGCTCTTTATTCTCTTCATCACAAGTGCTCAACCTTTTGGGAGTGTCCTCCACTACCTGATTCTCAAAATCATTATCGTCCTCTCTATGTACTTCATTGGAGATACTAAGCTGTAAACCTGAATCTACATCAGGAACCTGTCGATGTCCAACTATCAATCAACAGTGAACGAACAACCATATTCCATGTGAGCATTGAAATAGAAGAAATAAAACTGTACAGTATTGATTAATATTTAAACTTCGAACAATAGATAACCATTTTAATAATTCATACATTCTAATCTATGAATTGAAGAATTGATGACCAACAATCTAACATTAAATTCATGTCAATTAAGGTTTAGCTCAAAAGATAAGATCATCCTACATCAACTCAAACATTTTGACTCTCAAAGTTTGCTATGGCTGGTGGTATGCACTAACCTTAGAATGGGGTAACTCCTCACCCCAAACTTTTAGGAGCAGGATAACGTGCAGTTCATAAAGAAACTGCAGGTTCCTACAGTTAAAATCAGGTCCAACAATTTTGAAGTTACATTTTGTTTCATTATGCAATGCATATTAATTAATTGTGATGGTGAAGATCTTCTGCAGTTGAAAATTCAACTGCAATAACCTCGATCCAAACTTTTATGTATCAGAAATAGAAATAGAAATAGAAATATAATCACTCACCTTAAATGGTGTGATTGTCGAACATTTTTCTGCACTTACAAGAACTTTATTTCCAACTAGCAACCCCAGTGCTTCTTTGATTATCTCTATTTGTAACTCTCCAGAAGTAGGTTGAAGTTTCCAAATCACCTGCATACATATAGGTATAGACAAAGGAATTATAACCCACTTTTCCTCGTCTATTTTTTGATAGGGACTTCAGTGTGACAAATAAAACCAAGGTAACCATCATTAATTCAAACACAAATTTTATTATCTGCAGATTCAGACTAAAGCTTAACGGATTGGAGAAATGCTTTGCTACTTCAACGATTACGTCATCGACTGAATATAGCAAAAAAATGGCAGTACGTTAAGACAAACACACGTTTTCTCCACTGTCCATGTTATATGAGGAACCGATGACTTAAATAATGCACTCAACATTTAACAGATATATAAGCAAGTTTCCATGTTACCTGGTCATCATGCAGGTCTTTAAACCCTGAAGTACCCCGTTGTCTTTGGTTAGATTTACTATTACCCCAACGACAAACGCGAGGAAAGGTTAAATCATGATCTTGCAAATGTGGCCGTGCGACATCAAAATGCTCATAAGACCATGTCTGCTCGCCAAAGAGAAAAACAAAAATTAAAAGTTAAAAACATTTTACCCAATAAGCATTTTACAAATGGCACTAAACAAATATTGCTCCTACACATCTTATCCATCAAAAAACTAATGCATACACACTTTTTACTTCCAGGACAAGACAACGCATATAGCTTTTATAATCTATCTAAATAAGACAATGACAAGACTACAACAGCAAGAGAAACTGAAATATTCAATCGACATCAATTTAGTCTTCGAGAACTTGTTTTCACTGATTGATTACCCTAACCTTAAACTTTAATTCAGTTGTCTACATTTTATGAACTAAATTGATACTACCTAAATATTGGGGGTCCTTCTTATGAGTCAAATTCGCAAAATAAGCACAATCCCGAAAACATCAATTTAGGGGTATTAAAAGAACTTACAGAGTTTGTGAAAATATGTTACAACTCACTAACTCTTTTTAATTTATTTCAATAAACTTTTGGAGTAGTTCATCAAAATAAAATCCTTTCAACTTATTCAAATAAATTCCATGATCAAATTTATATCATAAACCGTTGTGTGATAAGTGCTTAATTAAACTGTTTATACAAACACAATTATACTCAAATAAATTAAAAATAAATATCAGCCACACCCCTAGTATATATGATGAAAAGAGCAACATTAACAAACCAGTAACTAACACTCTTTATTATCAGCTTAATTTCTTTTAAAAAAAAAAATACTTGTCCATAAATAGACCACTTTTCCATGTCAAGTATCAACATTTCCTACACAGCTTAATGCCAAACTGTGACATGGAGAAACTTACTTGGAGAAAGATAAGACAACCACCCACATACTGCACATTATGTTCCTTCCTCTTATCCAACCACAAACACAAATCATGAACAACAGCAGCACCCCAAGCGAATCCAGAAACCTCACTCAAGTTCCGTAGAAAAGACAAGTATCGCGAATCGACCTTCCCATCATTTGAAGCTAGAAACGTCCCAATCGTGTAAAGCAAAAAGCTCCTCACAAAATCATCGCTCACAACATCCCCAACTGAATCAAGCCTGTTCTCTAGAAAACTCATTGCCACCTTCCTCTTCCCCTTCGTTGCCCCATACAACTCTTCCAAATCGGAGAACGGTTCCTCCTCCTTCAGCGTCACCGGGCTACCGGCAACCGGCAGGCCCAGGATCAGAGCAACGTCCAGCAACGTCATCTGGATTTCGCCACCGGAGAGTAGAACAAACGCGCGCCTCTCGCAGCTCCACGTGTCCATCAGCTCCGTCAGGAAAACCTTGTTTAGCGAGTGGTTCGGAACCGATAACAGGTTCCCGAAACCCGTTCGCGCTATCGCGGATCTTTGTTCCGGTGTGAGAAGCTGCACGCGCTTCGCGTACGACGTCAGAGAAAATCGAGTACTGAAATTCCTCACCTAACATGGAAGGGAAAAAAACGGTGAAACTTGAGCGCGAAATGTAGTCAAAATTGAAATCGAAATCGAAACTGAAATTGAAATTTGATTTTTTTTTACTTGAGCCTGCGTGAGGCCGATGGAAGAGAGTCTGGTGGACTTTCTCATCGGAGATGGGACTTGCCGGCGCCGGCGACGAAGAAGGGAAGGGTTGAAATCAAATGAACGAAAAGAAATGAGAACGAACACTACTAGTGCAGTGCCAAAGCTTCCGAGAGAAGCTTCAAAAATTGAATGACGTGTACATAAGATAGAAAAAAAAAAGGCGCCAAAATAATAAATATCAAATTTATCATCCTTTTTCTTACTTGTTTTTCTTCCTCCCCCAAAATATTACTAATTTATTTTCATTTATAAAATTATCTACGACATATCTATACCCTATCCTTGTTTGTTTGAAAAGTAGTTGCCGCTACGACTTTACATTATGATTTTTTTTTAAAATTTACCTAAATACTCTTTTTAAGAAATTTCAATATTTTAGAACGATAATCTAGCTCATTTTAACACTTCACATATTTTTAAATGTGTTTTATAACTTTTTACATTTTTTATTAATAAAAATATCATTATAATAATTAAATAAATTATCAAATATATTGTCATTTAATCCAATAAAATATCATTAGATCCATAAATTTTATATTTTGTCAAATATTGGTTTTTTAATTAATAATTTATATCAATTTCATACAAATTGTATACTACATCTGATCATATTTATCATAAAAAATTACCAAAACTTTTTTCTTAAATATAAAAAATAAAAACTTTTTTTAAACATGTCAATTACTAAATTCTCTTCATACTCTTATTTATTATAAAATTAGTGTTAACAACTATCCACTTTTTACTAATAAAATTTTATATATTCATTCATTTAATGTACAATATACCAATTTGACTATTTAATATTGTAATTATTTTTAGAACAGAGTATAATATGATATATATATATATATATATATATATATATATATATATAATGATGAATTAAGTACTTTTTTTATAAATAGAACAAAAAATAATATATTATAATTAAGTCTAGTAATTTTAATTCTAAAATTTATGATACTTCAATACACATGTCATAACATGTATAAGTCTCGTAACTTATATATACTTTGTAATTTTTATACCTCGTATTATTAGTATTATAATTATTATTAATATTATAAATAAAATACTATATTTATTTTTAAAAATTTATTTTTTTATTTAATTTTATAAATATATGTACATGTGTATGTATACATGTAAATAAAATAAAAAGTAATTCTATAATTTTAAAATACGAAAATTGAGTAGCATGATTCTTTTCTCTATTTACCAAGTGATTTTTTTATCTCCTCTACATTTTCAGAATGGATTTTAACTAGGGATGTGCATAGATTAAATTTTTAAAAAATCAATCTAGATTCATTTAAATCTTTTTATATAGATTAAATTTTGAATCAATCTATTTTAATTTTTTTAAAAATAGGTTTAAATTTAATTTTAAAATTTAGATTTAGTTTAAAATTATAAACTGGATAAAAATATACTATAAATATTTTTAATAATATTATTAGATTATATTAAAAAATATTAAAATTTTATAATAACTAATATAAAATTATATTTACATATATTTTAATCTATTAATAATATAATTTTTCTTATTTTTATGTTTTATTAAAATAATATATATTTTTATATATTCTACTTTTTATCATATGTCTACCACACAACCTAATTATATAAATTAAATTTTAAATTATTTTATTTTATTTTTTTAATCAGTTTAAAAATAGTTTTAAAATTTAAGTTTAGTTTAAAAATTAATTTTAAATTTAATTTTTATTGAAACTAGTTTTAAATTAAATTAGTTTAAATTTATTTTTTAAGGTAAAACTGATTTTTAACATATTAAAATAAAATTAATTTGTTGTATGTACTATTACATTAAATTAGTGTTTTAAGAAGATTTTGATAATATTTATTAATTATATTATATTTTATAGAAATTTATAAAATATTTATTATAATTTTTAACTTATTTTTTAATAAATCGAGTTCATAATGAAAGTTTAAATTAAAACTTATAAAAATAAAAATTAATAATATAAATAATAATAAAATTATTTGTTATAATATTTTAAAATTAAAAAATAAATATAAATATAAAATTATATATATATATATATATATTATTTATATCTAAATCATATGTATCTTTCACTAAAATCATGTTCGGATGTTATATTATATTTATTGGGATTTAAACTCAATATCACAAAATAATATATTACTTTAAAATATAAAAATATTAAACATTTTAATTAATAATTAAAAACATAAAAAATACAAAGATCTAAAATTATTTATTACAATGATTTAAATATTATTTTAATTTTTGTATAATTTTTTATTTTTAATTTATTATTTATATAAAAATTGTAAATAAAATTTAAAATATTATTTTTAAAATAGTCTTTTCTATTAGTTTTTGGAGTTACATTATCATCTCATATTCTAAAAAGAATCATATATATATATATATATATATATATATATATATATATATATATTATTTCCAATTATTAGTTGTAGTCCAAGCTTAAAGTAAAATTTTAAGCCGAGAATGAAATTGGGACCCATTGGAAAGATTATATAGAGGAGGGACTAAAATCAGTTCTGATACAATTAAATCTAATTTTATAAAATGAAATCTAAATTATATTTAGACTAAAAATAAAAGACTGAGTATCTCATTTTTTTTAAAAATCTGAATTTTTTTAATTCAATTTAGTTTAGGTTATTGATTGGATCTCAATATCCGAATTTTTTGACCACTCCTAATTTTAACTTATATTTTTTGTTGGGGCTAACCCCACAAGGATGAAACGCTCAAAACTAAGATCCTAAATGAATCAATTACCCATGGGAATGCTACTTTGATAGTAAAAAATATTATCCATACTTTGGGCCAACCCGACATCTTAATTTTAATTAAATTTGCACATCATTGAATACTCTTTCGGCCTAGAAACAATATTGGATTTAACCAATTGAGTTGACCAAAAATCAAAGTCAAGTGAAGGACAAATGTAACCCATAATGGGTATTCTGTTGGGGATTCTTGAGACAATTCACCTTTGACATTAAAATATGGAGTTGAGTTATTTAATTACATCAGCACGATTTCCTGTGAGACCTGGATGATTACGATGATCTAAAACACCATCTTAAGATACTCTAAAATACAAAAGATCAAATGCACTCTTAGGTCTCCATTCTGTGTGTTTTTGGCCATGTATCACATCTAATCACCTATACCTGTTCCATTAAAATTAGAAGTTTTGTTAAGGACATGAGAAATTTAAAATCAATGCTATAAAAACTGTACGAATTTACCCATAAACTGAACTATCAGTCAATCTGGTCAAACCACTTAAATTGATAAGTAGCAACTAGCCAAATCACACAGGCTTTTGTACGGTTCAATCGATGAACGATTGTAAAGATTGATCACTTAAAAATATGGTCCTTTCAAAATGAGGGAATCAAGAACAAAATGCAGACAGCATATTTATGTATGAGTTTTCATTAATAACGGCATACAAAATGAGAATTTACCTTATGAGCCAAAACAGAAAATGCAGACTATTAAAAACCACAAGCCTTGAAATGTGTGGTAGTTTGGACAGATAATAAGTGACAGCAAAGATACATAAACAGCAAGTATACCACCATAATTTTCTCAACCTTCCATTTCGAATTTCATGGTTGATCTTCAAAAATATAAATGCAAAACTTATAAAACAATACTCGTAAAATACAGATTGTCATAATGTATGCTGGTTATATCCCCCAATTAATTTATTTGAACTGTTTAACATTCAAAGTGACCAAAACAAAATTATAGGCCACCCTCATGAAACTATCAGATTTTATATCAAACAATAATAAGATGTGAAATACAGAAACCATTAAGAAAGAAAATATGCATGCCTGAACAAATTCCTGGGTAAACTTATCAAGCTTCTATTGCTAGGAGTTCCTCACATTAAAAATGTACAAACCGTTAAACAATTAAAGTTTCTTACCAATTTTCAGTTCCTCCAAACTTTCCTTGAGATAGACATCTGATGTTCTATTCAACTTCAAATATATTTAACAAAATGTTTAGGATGTTTCCACCCTGACACTTAACCCTCAAGTGTGTCCACCATATGTAAATGTTTGTTCAGTGTGGAACCAAGGTCTACATGTAGAATTCAAATCCTGTCAAAGAAAAACAAAGAAAGATATTACCTCTTTGTTTTGCTAGAGCCAAAACTCAGTAAAAGAGTATTCCAATTAACTACCTGACTAGAAATTGAAAGGACCAAACATCTGGCAATCAGTTAATAGTTCCAAAATATTTGGTTCCTTCGATAATGTTTCTTGAGATATTTTTGTATCAAAACCCGGTAAGTCCATTGCCTTTGTGTTTTGAACTCAAAAAATGCTTCTGAACTCATGTGGAAGTCCCCTTTACCTAAGGCCTCATACACAAAAGGATCTGTTAACAATTCTGGAGAATCATCCAAGTTCATTTTGTTTAGAGCAAAATCCAAGTTTCTTCCAAGCCTTCTATCCAAGTATGCATCAACAACACACCCAAAAGTCACTAGATCAGGAATGACCCTTTCATGCTTCATATGTTCAATGCTAAGGTGGAGGTCCCAGAATAGAGACATCCTAGAAAAGGCAAGAGCACGGATATTAAAGGTTGTAAGATCAGGACGGAACCCAGATTCCACCATTGTAATAAATTCTTTCTGCATGCTTTTCATTTTGAAATTGGCAGCATAAGAAAGTAGCATAAGATTCCATAAAAGGTTTCCAACATTTTTCCTACCTAGACCCACATCTCTTAGGAACTCACCCAACTCATAGAATTTTCTCTCCTTTATATATGCAGAGGCCATGGCTCGAATCACTTCCTCCATTATCAGAAATCTAGATTTCTTAAGGCGGCCATATGCATTCTCCATCTCTTTCAAAGAACCAAAAATACTATAATACAAAAGGAAAGCATTAGCAGTTCTAGAACACATTTTCAAACCTCTAGCAACCATCTCCTTTGCCGTTTCTTCCATCAATTCAAGCTGTCCTTCTCTTCCAAAACAAGAGATAGCCAATGAGTACACATCAGGTAATATACTCAAATTCCTCATATCCATATCATGTAGAACATTGATCACTTCATCAAATCTCCTATGTTTTCCATAAGCATCAAATAATTTTGAAATGAATCTAACTGGAGGCACAAAAGAACTATTGAGGAGCTGCTCCCATATAGTCTGTGCTTGAGGAAAGAGACCATTCTCTGTATAATATAGCATCAACACACACAAAGTAGATTGTTTGGGCATGTAACCATCCACTTTCATATCCTGAAAAACACCATCGGATTGATGAAACATTCTTTTCTTGCTATAGTTTCCAATCAATGAAGAGCAATCTACACACTTTTCATTCCCCTGCCAGACCACCTGCTCAAAGCACATCCCCCAAACGCAAAAAAATTAAGCAAACTGTTGGCATTTGAAGAGTATTTTTAAAAAAAATTTGTTCCTAGAATGATAACAAAGACATCACTTTTCTTAGAAGAATCCAAACAAGCACTAACTGTGTCTAAATTAAAAATAATAATAATGAATTTTTTATTCAGAGTAGAGTAAGACCACTATAAAATATTTTTTTAATGTATTTTTTATCCGAACAGTTAGAATCACTGCGAACAACAAAATTCTTCTTTTTTGAGTATTTGCAAGTTGATTCACGTGCTCATTGGTATAAAATCAATATATTGATAACATTAATTTTAATTTTTTATTTCGCTCTTAAAAATAAACAATTAAAAAGGCGATAAAATATTGGTACAAATAACTGAGCCCCAGCTCTTTTTTGTATACTCTAAGTCACAGCTCTTAACACTGAATTTAAGCACCTAAAAATAGTAAGTTTTATTAAAAAAAAAGGTATATATTACATATTTATAACTTTAATCTAATAAACGTATTTTATTTTTAATGTATTTTAGGTGTTTAAAATCGGTTCTAAGGACAGACAAAACCCAACAAAGAATTAAGGGAGTTCAACTGGATCAAGTGTACTAAAGACTGATAAAAATAAATAAATTCTTGGAGAGATTATTTAAAAAAGAGATGAATAATGAGAAATTGAGAACCTTGTTTGGTTGATGTGGAGGTGGGGTGGCAGAGTCCTTTAGCAGAGTGGTGATACGGCATGAGGGGAGTGATAGAGAGTTGATTTGCATTGAGAAGGAGAATGATTGAAGAGTGCAATGAAGAAGGAATCATAGGAACAGTGATAGAATGGAAGATGTTTGTGCGTGGAACTTGAAACCTTGTCCCTGTGTTGTGTCCAACCAATAACTCCAAAGACCAAACTGACCCTTATCTCGTTTGTTTCCCAGTTCACGCTCACTGCTTTCAGTTCAGTTCATTCATTTCAATTTATTTACGCCTTGTTATGGGGAGATTGGGCCAAGTCTCCACACTGAAGATAAAGCCCAAGGAATCTTTAAATTGAAATTTTCACTCCTCTCCTTATCATCGTTTTTCAGTTATTCTCAATAAAAAAAAATTAACATATGACTAACAATACATGTTAAAAATTTATTAAATAATACTTATTAAAAAATTATTAAATAATAAAATTTTATTGAAAATAGTAATCATAAATTCTTATTGAATTCTCTTGCATGCGCATTAAAAATAATAAATAAAAACTTAACAGTTTACTTGTGTATACATTGAATATTTTAAAATTGTATACATCAAATATTTACTTTTTTATAAAATTAGAGATTTTTAAAATATTATCATAAATTGATAATCACATGTTGATCAGACGAATTAAGCATAAATCAATAAACCAAAGTCTCAAGCAGTCCATGCATGAAAGAGGTAATTAATACTGTTTAAATTCATAAAAAATTAAATGAAAAAAAATTTATTGTCTTTTTCTAGTTACTATAAAATTTTAAAAGTATTTATTGTTTGTTTAAATATTTATCTTCATTTAAACTTTTTCAACTTCTTAATAGTTAATATATTAATGAAATTTAACCTTAATTATGAGTAAAATTGTATTATTTATAATTACCTTTTTAAAAATAATACATTAATTGCTTATAATAATTTGTTTTAATTCTTAAAATATCAAAAAGAAAAAGTGTTAAAATAAGAAACAATGAATATTAGAATTTGATGCCATTAAATAGACCATTACGTAACAAATACACCATAGAATTACGAACATTATACATAATTTGAAAATCGAAATTAAACTCATAAAATATTGAAATAGAAAATAATTAAACGACTTGGAGTAAAATTCTCCCTTCAATAAAAAATAAATATTATTTTTTTAATAATTCTTTCTTTAAATTGAACATTAAAATACTTGAGTTTAAATTTTTAGTAAAAACTTTAACATCATTCAAAGTGTAAACTTCCATCAACTTTCTCAAATTTCAGAAAGGAGAAATTTTGAGAGATTTTGTGAATATATAGATACCTAATCTTCACTCCTATAAAATTGCAAATCAACAGTGCCCATCATTTATGCGCCTCCTTAAAAAATTGCATCTTACATCTTACATATATATGTTTGTTTCTTGCATGTAACACTAGATTCTTGGACAATTTAATAGTTGAATTATTATCATAGAATATTGTGGTTGCACTCAGTTGTTTGTTGCATCCAGTTGTTTGAAATTCATTTCTTTAAGAATTCTTTAGCCAAATGACTTAACATAGGCTGTAACAATAATGAATTTAACTTCAGTATTTGACAAAAGTAACAATTTATTGCTTCTTAGAGGTACAACATTTGTCCCCCACATAAACATATAACTTAATATACTTTTTCTATTATTTTGATTGTCTGCATAATCATTATTAGTAAATTTTAATAAATTGGATTTTTGACCCCTTTTATAAAACAATCCAAATTCTCTTGTTCCTTATAAGTAGCAAAACATCCTTTTTCAGCCAACAAATGCATTTATGTAGGATTCTCCATATATTTGCTTATCATACTTACATAGAATATTATGTCTAATCGTGTCATAGTTAAATAATTTATTTATAAAGTGTTGCTATCAAACTTCTCCCCTTCAAGATCCTTATGAAGCTTCAAAATGGACTCTAACGGAATATTTACCATATTACAACCTTCATTTTAATTCTGTCTAAAACATCTTTCACATGTTTCTTTTGACAAATAAAAATTTCATCAGCTAATTAAATCACTTCTATGCCTAGAAAATAATAAATCAAATTAATATCACTCATTTCAAATTTATACATCATATATTTCTTAAAGTACTTAAAAATGACATTGTAATTTATTTAGTAAAAATAAGATCATCAACATATAAGAAATAAGTAATTTACCTTTATCTCTAGATTTAACAAAGAGTGTGTGTGCTTAAAACGACATTTTGTGAATCCAACTTTAAGAAAATAAGCTTGGATGCAACTATAACGTGCTAGTGGAGTTTGTTTCAGCCCTTAAAAGAGCTTTCTTCAATTTGTATATGCTCACTTTTATCTTGACATAACATGGTGGTTGTTCAATAAAAACTTGTTCCTTTAAGTACTCATATAAAAATATTAATTTAACGTCTAATTGGCCATACATTCTGTGTCCAATAATCTAACTGTGTCATGTCTTACAACAAGAAAAAAAAAAAAAACTCTTGTATAGTCAATTTCATATTGTTGCTTGTATCCCTTTTTCACAAATCATATCTTATATTTGTCAATTTCACCATTTTCCTTCAACTTTGTTTTAAAGACCCATCTCTTCCTTGATAACACTATCAAAAATTGTAGGATCACAATAAGATAACAAGGCAAAATGATTAATTCAATCCAGAATTTCAATTACCCCGAAGTCTTCCATCCAAGCTGGCCTTTGTCAATATACAAGAAAGTGATTAATTGGTAATATTAATTAATATTATTGTAATGTTAAGAAATTATAAGGATTAATTGATTAACTTGTTTCTAAAAACTAAAATGTAAAATCTTTAAAGATTTAAATGAAAATAGATGTTAAGTATAAAACAACATATTTTTTTAATTTAACTTTTTAATTTAATCATATAATTTCAAAAAGCGACATTTAACATTGAAAAAAAAATTACTTATCATAACTTGATTTGCTAATATAATAGCAAACATATAAAATAACTTTATGCAATATTTTACTCCTAATCATGATTGGTCTAGATCACTTTCAATAATGATTCATGATATGTAAATTAGCTTAAATAGGTCTCATTATAGCGCTTTTTTTTTTCTTTTTTTTTTTCTCTTTACATTTTATAACCTAAGCAACTCTTATATCTAATGGCATATTTTTAAAAAGGTCACTAAAGTTACCCACCCACCAATACATATAATTTAATTTATATTTATTTGGATTTTCTTCTTTCTCGCTCATGAACATTGACATAATAATTATAATGATTGTGCTATTTGTCTATTGGGTGCTTATTTAAAGAATCGTTACTTAACTTCTTTTGCCACCATATCTTTCTCCATCTAAAACCAGTTTAGAAACCGTAACTTTTCTTATGCGTGGGAAATTTTAATAAGCAACATTTACCGATGACGACCAATATTTATTAGAACTCGAATAAAATTGTCATTAATGCTGACACACAGCTATGATATAGATGGAACACTTGACTGAAAATGTTTGGGGAACAAAAAGAAAAGAAAAGCGTGCAAATAATTAATGCCATGTTATTTTTCTCCTTTTTAATATTTTTTATTTTAATACTTAAAATTAGATTTCATAATAAAAAATATTATTTGAGTAAAATTTTTGAACTATAGTTTTTCCACTTATCTAAAAATGTTAGCCACTTCTATTGCAATATATTTTCAACGTCTTTGTGTTTGAACTAATACCTTGATTAATATTTTAGATAAATATTAACATACTCAAACAATACATGCATGCAAAATAGCTCTAAATTTTTAATTAAAAAAGGTTAATAATTAAACATGAGTGTTTTCTTCGTATAAAAAAAAGTGAATAAATTTTGAACCGTTTGTTACATGTTTTAAATATTTTATCTATTCAAAATATTCATTGACATACATATAGTAACCTTAATTAATAATAAAATTGAGTAGAATGGGACAAATAAGGTAACAATAAACTTTTAGGTTTATATAGAATAATAAGACTGAACAATAATTTACATATTTAGATCTTAAATTATTTGTTTGTATTATAAATTGATCAATGTTTACCAATTAGGACATAGAATAATGAGATATTGTAACTAGATTGAAATGTTCTTTATATATATATATATATATAAAAGATTTTCTTACATCAGTGTAAGTCTAGAAATTTTTATATATAATCTGAATATTTCATTTAACTTAAATCTAACGGTCAATGAAGTAATAAATTATAACTCATTAGATTTAAATTAAATAAAAAATTCAGATTGAGTGTAAGAGTTTTTAAATTTATACTGATGTAAAAAAATCCTACTTTTATATTATATTATATTTCATAAGTAAATTTGTCATCATCTGTACATGACACTAAAATTGTTTAGATACATAAGTGTATTTAGTGCTTGGTATATATGATATGTCTAATAAAATTAATAATGTGTCAAATATTAGAAAGATAGTTATAGGGTTTAGGGTTACCAAATTCAAAATGAGTCTAAGCAAATGGTTTACCTGCAAGTTAATAGGTGACATGTAACTAACATAATATTTATGAATACAGTAAATAATGAGCTCGACAAATGTTTCCTTTCATGATGGATTCGAGCAAAGAGATAGTGGTAAGATAGTTTGATAAGACTCGACTATTTGCCTCTAAATTATAAAGAAAACATTAAAAGATTAATTTTTGATTTATTTTAGTTATATTTTAAAAATATTCATTTAATAATTTTGAAATAATTTTGTGAGATATTTCTATTTTTTTTTGTTATGAAAATTATTCGATAGTTTAATTTTTTTAATTACCTTGAACATAAAACTGTTATCTTCGGCCATGTTGTGACTTTTTATTTTAATCAACAACATTTTATATTCTACACATCATGTCTATAATTTAATGAGTAAATGTAAAAAAGAAATATAATATATATCAGTATAATATTTTTAGAAATTTTTATTTCTTTAAATTTATTCTATGCACTTAGTGCATGACATAGAAGAATGATTTAATCAATGGTGCATCGTCGTGTTTTGCTTTCGAAATCTTGGCTACGATGCGGTGCACTGGGTTGGATTTTGTTCCCTTTTGTTTTTAAAAAGAGGAAGGAAAGTGGGACCCACTTCCATTTTTGAGTGGTCAAAATTTGGTCAATTTCTTCGTACAAAACAAAGTTTGAGTCAACAATAAAGTTTGACCACCGTGCTGACTACGCCTGACCAATCACCTTCTTCTTCGACACGGCCCCACAAGTCCTGTCACGCCCATCTGGCGCGTGGAATCACAACCGAGACTCGCCTAAAAAAAAATTAAAAAAAACAAAAAAAAATTACAATTCAAAAGTATTATTATTAAGATAGTAATAAAATCATGTGTTTTGAATAAAATATGTATTTCTTACTCATAATGAAAATTTCATTTTAAGATACAAAAAAATTAAAGATATAATATTTTTAAGGGGAAAATAAAATTTTGAGAGTAAATTGTATGAACAAAGACAGATTATCTCTATGGCTATTAAAAATTACTTTGATAAGTAAAAATTTAAAAATTAAATTCAAATTAAGATTGATTATAATAATCATAAAACATATTTATCTTAAAAAATATCTCCTTAATTTAATAAATGTGTCCAAAATTGAAATATAATATTTAATGCAACATAAATTTAAGATTTATTAAATATTAGTAACAGAATTTGATATGAACTTTTTTTAAAAAAAATAATGTAATTAATATAAGAAAAATTCTATGAATTAGTGAGAATATCTCTTAAAAATCTTTTCATTTAAGAATAAATATGCTATTTATAATGAATGTGTATATTGTTATAATTATCGACAATGCTTTAGTTCAAGCGAAATGATTTATGTTTCTTAAGCTTGTAATCTAAGTTTAATTTTAAAATGTGTGTATTTAAAAATATCATACAGAAGATTTTGTTTTTAATACATAACCATATCATGAGATTAATATCTCACTAATCAAGTTGCTATAAGCAAAGCTTCTTAATTAATTATAATCAAAGAGAAAAATATAAAAGATAATAAAATACAAAAAAATATTTAAATTTATGTAGATAGAATTATGGAAATGAGTTGGGTGACTCTGTCTTGCTTTCAAATTGTAAGCCTTAAGCCTGATTTATTTATTTAATACATGCCTTTTCTTTAATATCTATTTACCCTGATCATTTTAATTCATTAATTTAAAAAAAAATTTAAAGAGTCTAGCTTAACTTAAAATTTCCACTAACAGGTTAAAAATTACCTCAAATAAGATTATAAACCTAATTTATATGTAAACTACTGAGTTTAATATTTTAAACAGACCAAAAGGTATATAGCTTTAAAATATTGAATATAAATTTAATATATTAGAAATTATAATCTTATTTTTTTATTACTAGTACAACAATTACTTAAATATAGCGCAAACTAAGTTTAAAAGATTTTTTAAATAGTCTTAATATATTTTTTTTTTGAAAAATTAGCTAAATAAATAACTTTGATTTAACTTAAATTTAATGAAAATTAAGTTATAAACCCACATAAATATTCTATATTTTTTTACTCCTTTGGGTGGTATCCACGTAGATTTTGAATGGAGACTTGGTGGCTGTGGTATTATCAAAAGGGCCATGCTTAGAGTCAAGGACCAATGTTGAATTCTTCTTCTTTTCTGAGATATATACCAATTTTGAAATCCTATTGGGTCTCGTTGATCACTTTGGAATCATATTTGTTACTATTTCAAACTTTGACTGAGCTTCCAAGGTGCACTTCTTTGGAATTGGAGCATTGTAAAGTTACCAAACACTGGTTATTTCTTTTTTTAAATATTTTTTAATACTATTTTATGCTGCCTTTACATTCATATTTTTTGTTAGATAAAAAAAGTGCATGAATAATTTAAATAATTTTTAAAAAATGGGGTTGCTCATTTTGCCCTCTTTTAGCCTTGAATTTTGCTTCTTTTTTGGCCCCACTATCTTTTGTATCATCTAAAGAATTAGATATATCCCTAAGAGTTAAAGTCATAATGCCAATAATTTTCGTTGTCTAAGTTAGAGTATCATCTAAGAGCACAACAAAGAGATGGTAAAAGGAAGAAGAAGAAAAAAAAGAGACACTTGTATGTACACACACACACACTTTTCTTATACTATTTTCTATTTTTTTTTATCATATTACTTATTATATATTATTTTTTATCCTTTTAATTTTCTTGTTGGTATATATACCTTTTTCTAGGTTTGAAATGATTAATTTTCATGAGTGTGTTTGTGTGTTCATGATCATTTTTTATAGTAGTTTTTTTGTCCTTCCCAAAAAGTGAAATAATAATTCATTTGAATATTATTTGCTGTTTGTTATAAAAGGCAATGAGTCTAAGACAACTAATAAAAACGCTAATTATATTCTATTAATATTTGTTTAATTACTTAATCCCAACTTTGAAAAATTATACTTTAATTTTTCCGAAAAATAAATAAAAAATTAAAGAGTATTTTCTTATATTATAAAGTAGACTAATTAAGCACATTTGCCTTAGACAGATAGAATGATTAAAATTTTGATTGAAGGTTAGAATTTTAAATTAGATATCAATTCATCAATCAGAATTTGTTTAATAAGTATAATTGAACTAATTTAATTTCCTTAATAATAATTCATTAATTTGGCAGTTTTTATTCTCTTTACACATAGTTAGAAATAATATTAGGATATGAATTCATTAGCGTACCATAAAACGTGTAACCCCACATCATAATGTAGATTTGCATAAGTAGAGTTTGAATATCTTTGACCATAGATTTGATTAAGAAAGAAAATAAATAAAGTAGAAATTTCTTATTTACATGAAAAAATAAAGAAGAAAATCTAAAACAAATTCAAACTCTTGTTTCACATTCAAATGGAAGGAATTAGTCAGAGTTCAAACCACGGTAGAAGAAACTGTGGAATGTTTACAAACGGTTTTGACGAGCAGTCATCAAAGAGACTTTCCAACATAAGTTAATTTTAAACCCGAAGTGACACCCATGTATATATGAAACTGGGCTAACGTAAAAGATAATTAACTTCAATTATATAATCATAAGTTAATGTTAATCATTGTCCTTGATATTGATTACAATTTTAAAATATTTTTTATTAAAAAGTGTTATTAATATGTATTTTTAATTTTTAATGTATTTTAACATAAATTTTAATTTAAATAAAATTATTCTTAAGTGCAATTATATAATTAAAATATAATGAATGCCAGCAGCATATCTCTTACTCACTCTTGATCTTTGAATAAAATATAAAATTTTAAAACACAAAAGTATTTTAAAAAATATTTTTAATATATATTCAATGATATTTGTTAAAAAATAATTATATTTTATTAAAAAGGTTAACATTCAACGTTACTAATTTTTTAATAAAATATTTTTTAACCAATAGCCTAAAATATTTATTACCATTTTTTAAAAAAAAATTACATTGTCATTCAATATATCTCCCAAAGCTGACAAAAGAATTTTTGTTAAATTTTACTTCAATTTTTAAGATTAAATTTAAGTATCTAAAAATAATAACTTTTTTTTTATCAAAAATATAGTTATTATATTAAATTTATAAAATTATAAGAAATATTTTTTAATAAATAATATTATTTTAGGGTGCTTGATATTTTTGTTTTCTATTTTATTGGTTTTGGATGATAAATCTAATGTTATAGAGCATATTTAATGCACTAAATCGCTAAATTAAAGGATAAGATTTTGATCAGTGCTCATAGATTTTCCTTCCCGTTTGAGACCATTTCTCTCTCTCATTTTACCATTCAAAATTGAAATTTCCACATATATATTAATTCCTCCCTCTCAATTTCTCCTTAAAACATCACTTCCCACCACCCAGCTCTTTCAACCTGCTTTCTTTCTTTGACTTCATAAGGGGAATTTCGTGGTTGAAGCAGAACCACATGTTGTTATAATTTTTAGCCATTTTAGCTTCAGTTTGTGTTGCATGAGCTTCTACCTCAACAGGCTGTTAAAGTTCTTTCCTTTTGGTGGTTTATTATATTCATATGATTTGAACCTTCTTGTGTTGCAAAGTTTATAGGTAGGTTATTATTATTGGTTTCATCCTTAAAAGCCTTGGCTTTATTGTAATTTGATTTGATGCATTACCAGTTTTACTTGATTTTCTTCGAAAAAGAAAAATGATAAAAAGTTTGCACTTTTTTTTTTCTGTGGTGGGGTTGTTTTGTTAACTTCTAGTGGGATTGGAGATAAAATGAGTAGTTTTTGTGAAATTTCTTTTATGTTATGGATCTGAATTGTTTTCATGTAGTTGAATGGATGCCAAATCATGGTGTTTTATTAGTTTCTGAGATGAATTGGGTGTATAGAACTCATGACACGATAGGAATGAAATAGTTTGTTTTTTTTTAACAAGATAGCATTTTGCTCCACTTGCGTTTTCTTATATTTGTTGTGAAGATTGAACAATATTGTTCTGTTTATCGGGAATGTGATGGGCATAGTATACGCAAGAGCTTTGTTAGGGGACGACTTGATCAATTCTTATTACTTCTTTTTTTTTTCATTTCATTTAGGAGGGAGCAAGGAATGAGAGGTGAGAGGAATGAATAGAGAAATGGAAATGAAAATGAGGGAAAAGGGATAAATTTATGATTGTATTCATTTTATCGTCGTGAGTTATGCTCACTAGAAAATCTAATTTAAAAGAGATTCAAAAGTGAGTGAAAGTTTTATTTTTTATTTTTTTCAATTTCCATATATCTTCCCTGTTGGAAACATTTGGTAGAAATTTACAATATTTTTCATAATAACATTCTTTGTTATAATTGTCAATCTATGGCATGATAAAGTCCACTGAGTTTGCTCAAGTCTCCTTTTTGTGTGTGTGCAGCAATAGTCACTAGTCAGTTGTATTCAACAGCTGAATTCTGTACAAAGCATGGGGTGTTTCATGGTCTTGAAGAGCAAGAAGAAGAAGACGGATCAAATTTTGCACTCAAAAAGCGTCTGCCATAATTGTCATGCACCTATAATACTGCCTGAACCTCAATCTCGTACTCGTTTATTAAAATCTGCACCTCCTAGTTTTAGGACTAGAGCGAAACTCGTTCACCCCATTAATAAAGTTAACAACAACATAACACGGGCATTATCTGCTCCATCAGCTCTTGATGTAGCAGATCAAGAGGCTCTGGCCTCAGTTGAGTATGAGGAACGAGACGAGTCAAATTACCAAACAGGCTCAATGAAGGAGCAGCATTCATTTAGTCCACAACCATTACCTCTTCCATCTGGTCAGGGTGGTGGTGCATTGAAGGTTACTGGCAGCTTTAAGTCAAGGACAGCTAGTGGTCCTTTATATGCTTCTGGACTAATTCCTGATTCAGCAGAACAACATGGTTTGGCCTTATTTGAGTATGAGGAACAAGAAGAGTCAAAACACCGAGTTGGATCGCTGAACGAGCAACGTTCATCTAATCCACAACCTTTGCCTCTCCCATCTCATAAGGGTGGTGGTGGTGCATTGAAGGCTTCGGGGATGGCTAGTGGTCTTCTACATGCTTCTGGACCTTTGCCACTTCCACCAACTGGACTGCTTAGAAACTTTCCATATGAGGAAATTGCTACTGCTTGCCACAACTTCTCTTCAGATAGATGCATGTCAGAATGTCTTTCTTCGACAATATATAAAGCTTCATTTGGTGATGATGCTTCGAGTTCAAAGAAGTTTGAAGCCACTGTGACGCGCCTTCAGTCGTCAACTCAGGTAATGTTCTCCATTCTGCATTATCACTTTCATCTCTTTGTATCCTCATACCTAGTAATAGTAAATGATGACTTGTCATACTAATAGCTGCTGCTTCCTTACCAAATAGGGAGAAATGATGCCTTCTTATCTTTGAATCGCTAGATTTCAATACTTCTTGTACTTTTTTTTTTCATTTTTCCATATGAGATATGTTAATATGTTATACCTTCTTAATTTCCCAAAATACACACAAGTGAATTTAGGTGTGATGCCTTCTTATCTTTGAATCGCTAGATTTCAATACTTCTTGTACTTTTTTTTTCATTTTTCCATATGAGATATGTTAATATGTTATACCTTCTGAATTTCCCAAAATACACACAAGTGAATTTAGGTGTTTAAGAGAGGCATTTAAGATTTTAGGTTTGTTGATTGGTGTCATCCAACTTGCTAGTTAACAGCAGCCTCTAAACCTTATATTTCTCTGTCCTCCATATTCTGTTTTTTCTTGATGCATATTTGAATGTTTTCAAACCATATTGGAATAAAATGCTGGAAATTGTTAAGAATTGCATTGATACTGGTTCAAATGTGAATGTGAATAATTGTTAGCCTTGTGTTGAGAGGAATATGATTTTTCTCCCATGACAGAAGTAGAAAGCAGCTTAGAACTTTCTGACATGGTCAACATGTATGTTATGTCTCTTGCAGGGCTTGAAGGAATTCATAAATGAGGTTAATACTCTTGCATCTTTGCAACATGCAAACCTCTGTAAATTGCTCGGATTTCATGCACGTGATGGCTCTGAACCACGGATGTTGGTTTATGAGAGGCTATACCATGGAAGCTTGGACCGCCTGTTGTTTGGGAGATCTGATGGCCCTTCAATTGATTGGAACACACGAATGAAAATTGCCATATGCGCTGCACAAGGTCTTACTTTCTTGCATGAAGAAGGGCCTTTCCAGGTAATGAACTCTCTTATTAGCTTAGTTTGGTGTAAAAGGTATGTTGAATTTTCAAAAATAAAGCAGCCTTGTGTGGTCATGCATACTATTTTTTCCTCCCTTCTTTCCATGTGGATTTTAGACCTCATTGAGTGAGTGTCATTGAACCTGAGTTATTGTGTATTTCTTAATGTGGACTGAACAATTATATGACGAGTAAACATTTTTTACGTTCCTTTAGTAAACTAAAAATTAAAAAAATGGTACATACATTTCTATCTTTGCTGATGCACATCTTTATCTCTTGCAGGCAATGTATAATGAATTTTCAGCAGCCAACATACAGATTGACAAGGATTTCAGTGCAAAGCTTTCTGGATACGGTTGCGCTGGACATGTTCCTGAAGAAGAGATTTCAAGCAATTCATCTGTATGTTCATTTACTCAAAACTGTTCTATTATAAATTATCCAATTATTCTACCTGTATCTTATTTGGGATGTATGATTATTTCGCAAGTCTTGTTCTTAATTCATTCTCTTCTTCAATTTATTATTATACAGGCTGTTGGAAACCTATCCATGGAGACATTGGAAAGAGGAATTCTTACTCCAAAAAGCAATGTATGGAGTTTTGGGATTACCCTTTTGGAACTACTTACTGGCAGAAAGAATCTTGATAGCCATCACCTCAAGGAAGAGAGGAACTTAGTCAAGTGGAGCCGGCCTTTCCTGGCTGACGATTTTCGACTGTCACTGATTATGGATCCTAAACTTAAAGGTCGTTTTCCTACCAAAGCAACGAGAGCAGTAGCTGACATTGCACAAAGATGCCTCCAAAAGGAGCCATCAGAAAGACCAACCATGAGAACCATTGTTGGGCATCTCAAAATGATACAAGATATGAAGTACTCTTGTTGGTTCCCTCTACAAGAGCCAGCACCTATGTCTTCAAAACAAATTTCAAGATCACCAAGTCTTGATGGCATCACATGTCATGCAGGTAAATCGAGTCTCTCTCCATCGCCACCATCCTTAGCCAGACCATCTGATTCGCCTCCAAGATGGTCTGGCATGCCCACACTGCATCCTCCTCTCCGCGCCTGTTCCTCAACACTATCTATGGAGGAGCATGGTAGACAGGAAAGCAGGAAGTCATCATCCTCAGTGTGTAGGAGAGCAAGTATTGAAGGATATTGACTATCTGTAATGTTTCATTATTTCTTTATATTATTATTATTGTGTGATTCAACACACATGTTTATAGGAGATAAAAATTTGATTCTTCCACCTTGCCATCTCTCCATGATGCCGAGAACCTGTTCTTTTGTAGATAGTGCAAAGGGTGGTCATATTAGGTTGAATTAATTACCCCATTAAAATAAAAATTTACATGGTCTCAAACACTTTGCTTCTTTCTCCAGTCAACATTAACATGGCAAGAAAATAAAATAAAAGGACTTGTCTAAGTTACTTCTAGATGTAAATAATCTTATCATAAAATGGACTACTGAAGGTAAGATATTAGATTAAAAATTGTATCAATTTTTTATAGATCAATTTTATTAATTCATTTGAGATGAAGTTTGATTGGCTGAGATTTGGATGGGGGTGTGTTTTCTGGCAGGAGGAGCAAATTTAAGGATGTTGATACTTGTCCTGAATTTGACCATAATAATATTTATATCAATCACAACAATTGTTAATTATAAAGTTTAATAACATTTTTGGACAACTAACGATAATATGGTTTGGTTCTTATTTTATTTTAATTTTTTAAAGTTCTTAAAAATCATTTTTATGTATTATTTCATTTAAAGTATGTTTGATATTTGAAAAATTAGTTTTTTTTATCTTTTTATTTAAAATCTTCCTTTCTTTAGCAAATTCTTTTACTAGTTCTTTGTAATTATTTATCAATGAAGATATTATAGAAAGTTTCTTTTTGTTTATAATTTTAAAATTTGTCTGTTCTAAAAATTGGTCTATAAATTTATCTATATATGTATGTTTTCTAGTAGTGTTGGTTAATTTCTTTCTTTTAATTTTAATTTGATTTACGTATTATTTACACATATAAATATTTATAAAGTTTTTTAAACCTAGATTTATCTGTAATATTATCTTAAGTTCTGCTTTGTAATTTCAGGAACACCTCTTCATTTGCAATTTTGTTAATATAAATCTTAATAATATTGTGTCAAAAAAGCTTATTTCAATAGAAAGTACCTCTTTCAAACTTGTTGACATGGTTAAAGATTTGAAAGAATTAGTTACTAAGTTTTATAATGTGACTAAATTCTTTAATGATGCTTTATTTGTTCTATTTAAGTTGATTTAGAACATAATTAATACCAATTTTTCCAAAATTTGACTTATCTAATGCAAATCTCGATAAGGATAGAAGATTTTATTGTTAATACTTTAAAACTTTGCATTTATATTGGACCTTACTTGAAAGATGTTTTCAAGAATCCTACAGAAAAGGTTAGTTTTAAAGGATAAACTTTAAACAACTAATGATAATATAGTTTGGTTATTATTTTATTTTAATTTTTTAAAGTTCTTAAAAAATTTTATGTATTATTTCATTTAAAATATGTTTGATATATGAAAAATTAGTTCTTTTATCTTTTTATTTAAAATCTTTCTTTCATTAGCAAGTTGTTTTGTTAATATATTAAAGATTAAATTATAAATATTATAACTTTTAATTTTATTAACTTATTAAGGATTAAATTCTAAATATTATAATTTTTAAAACATATTCGACCTATTAGCAAGTTGTTTTGCTAACTTAGTGATGAGTTATTTTATTTATTATATCATTGTAGTCTTCACTTTCATTATTTTTGTATAATCTTTTTAACAATCAATTGTTTAAATTAAGTCTTATCTTAAAAATTTTCAATTTAACATCTTAGAAACAAAATAAACTAATTGATTATTTTAAAAATTTCCATCAAATGTTTCATTATCCATTTGAAACTAATTAACAACCTGATTATGGTTAATAATTATTATGATATAAATTATTATAATATTATATAAGTTTTAAAATAATATAAAAAGTAATAAAAAACTAAAAAAATTCAGAAAAGTATTATATTAATTTTTTTTATTATTATAAAAATATATTTTATACAACATATCTTTTTACTTTCCTTTTTATTTATTCAAACAAGCAGAAAGAATTATTTTTATTTATTTTTATCTCTTATATCTATTTATTCAAATAATAAAAAAATTTATTTTATTTTCTCTCGATTTCTTCTATCATTCAAATTTATGATGCAAATTATAAGTTTTTAAAATTTAAATAGAGACATTGATTATTGGCACTGTTTGACAGTAAAAGAATATTGAATGAGAATAGAAAATTACTCTTGTTTGCCTGTAAGACTGTAACTATAATGATTCTGAAATTAAACGGTATAATTTAGACTATGATATTTATTATGTTTCACTTTCACTCAAAATGCACAAACATAATCAATTATTTGTTGAGCAGAAAATCTTTCTATTAAAATATTGTATCTATGTCAAATAATTTGTTAAAGGCAAAATTAGTCTTTTGGTCCTGTAACTCTAAGGTAAAATTCACTTTCGTCCTATATCTTTTTTTTTGTTCAATTTAGTCCTTTAAGTTTTATTTTTTTTCTCACGTTAGTCCTTTTCGTGATATCCGTTAGGTCCATTTGCTGTATATATAATAGACTTATAAATTGCTGCATAATGTTATTTCCAATAATAAATAGGAATATAGTCTTCAGGATTGATATTAACATGGTTCATGGAAATAATTGAATGATAATAAGGTATTCCAGTAAGCATCCATATTTTGCAAGAATATGCTTTTAGTTTAAGGTTCACCACAAACTTATTTCTCTTTAAATTAATATGTTAGACCTCGAACATATGTTGTCCAGACAACCTTACAAAAATAAAAATAAGTGTAAGTTGTAATGTGGGACTAAAATGAATCAATTTGAAATAGTTAAAAGACTACAATCATTCATTTTAAATAATTTGAGGACTGAAATGAGCTTAATTTAACCTTGACTTGCTCCAATATCTTGGAAGATTTTAAGGAGATGCTTGAATGCTTCTTTATTGATGTTCCTTATTTCTTTCATATGTCTTTCCCATTCTTGTGGATAAGTTGTTTTTGCTGCCTTTCACATAAGCTCTTTTAATTGTTTACCTGGATATATCTTTCTGAAATTATTATATAAGTGTCTGACGTAGAAGCTTTGTTCTACTCCAGGCAACAATTTCTCAATGGCTGGCAATAATCCCTGAAATAAAACTATTCAGTGTCATATCAATAAGTTAACCAGCATATAATGGATCAAGTAAAAAGAATCACGACATGTAATGGTAATATCTTCTGTTGGTCAGACATAAAGGTCACTGTGTTGCATACTCCCACGCCTCCTAAATCAGAAATAAGTAGGTTTAAAAACTATTGTCAAGTGTCCTTATTTTCACGTTTGACAACAGCAACTACTAATGGTAACATTTGCTCATTAGAATCCCTACCTATAGTAGCCAAAATTTGTCTATCATAATATCCTTTTAGAAAATAGCCATCTAATCCTATAATTGGTTTGCACATTAAAAACTCTCCTTGCAAGCATAAAAACAAATATATAGTCTCTGAAAAGTAGAGAAAAGTTGTCTTAGGACATTTTCACCTTCCTCAGTTGCATGATTATATTGTCAACTTTATAGTTGAATAAGAGTTTGACCGTAACATTTGATGACAATAATCATACAACATTTTATATTGTTCTTTAAAACTCCCATCAACAAGGTCAATTACTTTCCTCCTTGCTCTCTGTGTTGTGGACTTACTCTAACATTCCACTTTTTTTGTACTTTTTCTTTAATGTCATTAACTTTTATGTTAGAATTTTTTCTTACACCATATTGTAATTTTTCACTCAACCAAACTGAACTTAACATCTTCACCTTATACTCTCTGCTGCATGTGTATTTATCAATAATTTTTCTCAATTGCCAAGTGTCATCTCTTGGTAACTTGGCACAGAATGCCGTCCATTTGCATTCACCGTTACACACCACTCTCACTCTTTCATTATTATTCTTTTGAATCTTTAAGTTTCTACCGGAGTGAATAACATATGTCTTTAACAACCTTTTTAAAATCTTCTTTGGATGCAAATAATATACCTATTTCCCATTTTTCATCAGTTATGTTTTATGGCAACTTAAACAATTTAAAGTTGTTTCTATCTTACTCCTTATCATAATTTACATCAGTCTCTAATTCCTCAGTGCTATAATCCTTATCAACATCAAAATTCTCATTGCTTGCAACAAATGACATTGGATTAGTAGAAGTAGAACCAACCTCAAATTGAGATTCAATTTCAAAGTCTCATCAGAACTAGAATCAATATGAAACTCAACATATGAAATTATGGCCTTTCTTTTTTTCTCACTTGTTCTTGTTGTTTTTGTTGTTTTTTCTTCTTTTTCTTGCTTTCTTGCTTATTTTTTCTGACTTATTCTTGCTGTTTTGTTTGTTTTTTCTCACTTATTCTTATTATTTTGCTTGTTTTCTTCTAATTTGATCTTGTTGTTTTGTTCCTTGTATTGTTACTTATTCTTGATGTTTTGGTAGACATTTTTTCTGCTTTCCCCCCCCTTTTTTTTACTCAATTTTTTTCCTTTTGCAGAAGATTTTTTTTTTCTGTTTCACATCTATCAACTTTCTTTGGTTGGTCTTGATCTCCCTGTTCCATATGAACCTCTTCTTCTTCTTCCATATGTCTTTCTTCTTTTTCTACTTGAACATTTTCTTGTTCCACTTCAACCATGTTATTCACTTCAAAATTTTCTTCTTCTACTTGTTCTCCACCACCCATCTCTCCAACTTGACCCATCAATATTCATGGGATATTCAAGTAATAGAACATCCAAACATATCTCAGCTTGTGAAACTGTATGTACTACATACAACTCCATTTTTTCATAACACTTTGATATTGTGGCCATCTCCATAGCTCCTTTATCATCTTTTAGTTCCTTCAATCCAACATCAAGACCTTTTCTACTAATCTTGTACCACATACTATCAACTACATCATATTCCAATTCATGTACCTCATCCAAACACCCAAAATAACTCCATAAATCTTTTTCACAGTCCCAAAATATTTGTCTGACCTCCAGCATACTTAGTTTTTCGTGACTTTTTAAACTTCTCAACATGATGAACTTTTATGCAGAATTTATCCATCTCCTATGATCCAAAAAAGGTAATAACAACAAAACCTAAATTTTAAAAAGATGAAATGTTTCAAATATTCAACAATGTCCTAACTCCTATAACCTCACAAAACACAAATAAAATAATATACCCAACACATATAGAGAATAAATTTTAGAAATATAAACATATCTTATAACCTTGATGTTTGATTCCACTTCAAAATTTCAACATTTTTTTAATAAAAAAGTCTAATAACCCTTTATAGATTTTCAATATTTTGCTTTGCAAACTGATTTTTTGATTTCAATTTCTGAATTTTCTTCCATAACACAGTGACCGTTTCCCTCCTCCTTGAAGTGTGTTTCACATAACTACAATCTCCACGTGGAATGACTTCCAATTCAGGCTTCCTTTATAGGTCCAGGTAGGATAACATAAATGTCATTAGTGGCAGATAAGATGCTTCTGTTATGTTCTTTAATGGTTGTCATGAAAAAGACTAGCATGGGAAAAAAATAAAACTTAAAGGACTAAATTGAACCAAAAAAAGCTAAGAAGACTAAAGTGAATTTTACCCTAGATTTAAGAGATGAAAAGTGTAATTTTTCCTTTGTTATATTTAGATACGATTTCTTTAACAATTTAAAGTTTAAAAGTATGTTATCCAAGTACACTTGAATTACACTCCAACTTTTAGCTATAAATAGAGACTCATAAGAATAATTCCACACAATTCTTCCATCCAACTGAGCTGAGAGCAAAGCACAGTGTGAAAATTACAACTTCTTCCACTCACAGTCACAATGACCTTGATGAAATCAAAAGTACCATTTCACATATCAACAATTCAAAAACCACAAGATGAATATCAAATAAGGGTCAATAACATGAACCAACAATTTGATAATGTTTGGTTAGAATGGAGTGATAAAGAGAAGTGATTTATTCATCCACTGGTTACTTTCTTTCTTTCTTTTAATTTTAATTTAATTTACATATTATTCACACATCTAAACATTTATATTAAGTTCTGCTTTATATTTTAGGAATATCTCTCAATTTGCAATTTTGTTGATACAAATCTTAATGACATTGTGCCAATAAAGCCTACTTCAATAGAAGGTACCCCTTTCAAGCTTATCGACACGATTAAAGATTTGAAAGAATTAGCTACTAAGTTGTATTATGTGGATGAATTTGTAGTAATGATAAAAAACTACATTTTAAGTTTTATTTATAATTTTTATTTTGACTTATTATGTGACTTAATTCTTCAATGATTCTTTATTTGCGCTGTTTAGGTTGATTTGGAACATAATCAACATCGTTCTTTTCAAGGTTTAACTTATCTAATGCAAATCTCGACAAGGGTAGAAGATTTTGTTGTTGATACTTTGAAACTTCACAATTATATTGGACTTACCTAAGAGATGTTTTCAAGGATCCCACAAAAAAAAGGTTAGTTTCACACGATTGACTTTGCATTTAATTTGAGATATTTGTTTCATTAAATTGAATCTATTGGTAATCAATTAGGTTATGCATATGGTGCTAATTGTGACGTTGTATGGCTTCAAAAAGACTTTAGCATTTACATCTGTAATTTGTTTGACACTCATCAGGTTTGTCTTAAAGTTTTAACTTTTCAAAATTAAGATTATTATTATTATTATTATTTTTACCTATAAGCTAACAAAATTGTATTAGCTTATTTGATAATATGAAAAGCTATGATAAAAATTTTATTACTATAATTCTCTCATTTTTTATAACCTAAACTAATTAACTTTATTATATTAATTAGGCTTCAAAAGTCTTAAAATTGAAAAGAAAGAGTTTGGAGTATCTTCTAAGTCATTATTGTAAGGTCACAACAAACAAAGAGTATGTTACTTTCAAATTTTTTTCTCCTTATATTTTTGGATTAGCTTATCTTATCATAGTCTAATCTTCTATTGTTCCTTTTAGCATGATTTTTTTCCAAAAAAAAAAAAAAACACTTATATTATGGAAGTTTTATGATTAAAATTTGTATAGATATCAAACGACAGATTGAGAGTGCGTCCAAATGAGATGTTAAGATATAAATGTAACATGAACTTATCAAATTTTCTCTTTCCTAAATTCTTTCTTTGTTTTAGCTCATATTTGACTATTATTATATATTAGTTTTGTTTTATTATTTGAGTCTGTTACGAATATTTAGTCATAATCATATTAATTACTTCAATCTATTTAATTACTTTTCTAATAATAGATATGCGAGAGACGATACACATTATTTGCTATACATATATGATTTAATGAGAATTGAGTTATTTGACTTGCCTAAAGAGCCTGAAAGTATTGATATTCCCTTAACGGAGGTAATTTTCTTTTCATACATATTAATTATTTTAATTGTTTAAACTTTTACTCTTGTATTCTTGCAAGATTAGACAAGTTTGACCTTTTTCCCTATACATATTAATTATTTATTAAATCTTTAATCAATTAACATATAACATGATGAACGATTGATTCAATAAATATTTTTTTTATCATATGACTGAAATTTCTCTTAACCAACAGGTTTACAAGCATAGTTATGACGTTTGCATGCATCTATACGAGAAAGAAGTTCTAACGGAGAATTCTTACCTTCATATTTATGGGGTATGTTACCTTTCCAATTGTTATTCTTTTTATTAATTTAGTATTTAATACAAATAGTAAGTTTTTTAAACCTTTTTTATTTATTATTTTTTTTGTCTCTTTTATATGAGGAATATGATGTAAATCTTATTTTGCTTATAATATATTTGAAATAGAGTAAAATAAAATCCAATTACTATTTTGAAACAGGTTGCAAGAGGCCCATTTTAATGCTAAACAACTTGCCATTGTATCTGTAAGTGACTCTTTAATTTCTTGTTTCTAGAACTAAAAGATTATATTACATATTTATATTGCGCTCATTTTAAATTTTCCTACTCTCAATTTTCAATATCTATTATAATTCATGTGTTCCATTCACGTTGCTTATAGGCTCTATTTGAATGGCGTGACTTTGTTGCATGTCTAATAGACGAGAGTACTGGATATATTCTGCCAAATAAAATTGTTCTTGAAATTGGTAAATGATATTATTTTTCAATTGTTAGAAAATTTTTTGTTTAAATATTAGCAATTAATTATATAATATATGCTAATTTAATTTTTATTTTCTTTTTAGCTAAGCATATGCCAATCACTACAAGCAAGTTATCCATGTTGTTGAAGTCAAAGCACTAGTCAAAGCACTCTTATCTTGCCAACAATCTTGATGTTATCGTTAACATAATTTGTTATTCTATTGAAAATGCTGCTGAATTTGAAGAAGTTGCTAGTCTATTGAAAGAAGGAGCTGATATTGCTTCCATTAAGAAAGCAACTCAACAATCGAATAATGACATAGACCGCTATCGGTGATGTAGTTATGATCAATGTTTAAGCATGAATTTGTCTATTTTATGTCTACATATTGTGTACTTTTAAGACATATGTAAACTTGTATGATGGTGAATTGATAATAATAATAATAATAATAATATTTTTTAAATTTATTTTCTCAATAATATTTATAATTTATATCTTTATAATCGATTAAAACTTCCTCAACCTCCATATGGCAAGTTCCACAGCAATACAGAGGGTGAGTCCACGTTCATACATCAATCACACAAATCCAAAGAGAAAGATGGGTAATATTTGGATTAAAAGCAAAGTCTATTTAAATGCAGATTTTAGGTAAGACTTAGGGAAAGGAAAAAGTTTGCATGCAGGGTTAGAGTGGAAATGCCGACAGTCAATTACAAGGGATAAAGTTATTAGCAAAAATTCAAGCTAAGGATCTCGGCTCACCACATGTATAATTGGAATTTCCTAAAGAACAATTGCAACAAGAAGACTTTCAAGGTTAATGTTCGCTTGTCCCATAAAATCTAAGGATGTCAATAAAATGGAAGAACTGTATAAAATATCGCAACCAATCTTATGGGCAAAACAAACAATCAAACCAACAGCAGAATAATAAAAGAAAATAAGGATATAGATTTCTACCAAAAATAGGTTTCTAATTATATCCTTTAATAAAAGCATTCACTTAGCCGTGGTCAAATTTATATAAAAAGGGTGTTACATTTATATTTTATTGAATTGCTATTTGCTAAACATGTACTTGTAGAAAAATAAGGAAGATAAAAAAATTGCAAAAATTGAATTTTATTTAGCACAACAAATTCTTAATGATAGAAAATCAAATATTCTGAATCTGGCCTAAAACAAAATAGGGAACCGAACTTCAACTCACCAAGTAACTATTTTGCCCACATGAGTTTAAAAGTTACCATAGGCATAGTATGATATTCAGATTCAGATTCAGTACTTGATTGAGAAACTACTTGTTCCTTGCTCTTCCAAAATATGAGATTTCCTCCAACAAATACGCAATAACCTGCAGTGGAGCGTCTATCGGGATAACCACTCCAATCTGCATCTGAAAAACTCACAGCACCAATGTTTCTTTTATCTTCATATAATAGCCCTTGACCTAGAGCACTCTTAATTTATCTAAGAATAGAGTCAATGCATTCCGGTGATAACATGGAGAGATTACATAAATTGACTCACTATACTAATTACAAAAGAAATATCTTATAGCCAAGTAATTAAGTCTTCCAACTAATCTCTTATATTTGTCAGAATCTTCATAAAGTTTTCCCTGATCTGGCACTAACTCGCTGTTTAGATCCATTGGAGTATCAACAGGCTTACAATTCATCATTCATCATGCATGTATTAATATACATGTATTTTAAATGAATAAAATTAAAAAATATTATCCAATTAATACAAAGAAAATATGTATCTTTTGTTAAAAATTTAAAATTTTAATCTCCTACCGCCAACGTCCTCTCCACCGGGATTCTCGCCTAGGGTGTTTAGTTCCCACCACCTACATCTCTTCATTTTTTCCTTATTGTGTTGAAAAATTTTAATTTTTAGCTTAATATAGTTAGAAATGTCACTTCAAAAAATATTTAGGTACAAGTAATATTTTTAAACTAAACGGATATTGAATGGATAAATGAACATAGTTAAATTAAATTCAAACTAATGATAATTAAATATATTTTTAATATCATGTAATATATTAAATAAATAATAAACTACGATCAAAGTATAAGAAAATAAGTAAAATTTTATATTAACATAAAAAGATTTTACTATATATTTTACAAGTTAAAAATAGTTTAATAATAGTAGTAGTAGTAATTCATATTTAATTATCGTATATAAACCTTTATTTATTTCAAAAATATTTTATTCTAAGTACAAAAAAGCAAATATATATAGATTAAATGTTGGTTTAGTCCCCGTTCACTGACATCGGTTGACCAACTCATATCGTGTTTTGACTGATTTTTTGCTTTTTGACCAGTTTGCTTGGGTTTTTGTTCCATCAATTTTCTGGTTTGCCTGAATTTGCGACTTGCTTGGTCCAATCAGTTGAATCGGTCTGTCTACTCTTGTTTTCAAAATCATGATAAAAAAAAAAAATTTGAAAAATTATTAAGGTTAATTTAGTCATAACAGTAAGGTTAATTTAATCGTGTTTTATAATGAACACAAAGTATACAACTCCCGTCATCGTGGTTTTAAGCTTTCTCAAATACTTCGTTAGTTTTAATTTCTCAAATACGCTATTTAATTTCAAAACTAATCTTCGAAGCTCGTCCAAATTCCAAACATTATTTTTTAAAGACATTTTGTAAGTAAATAAAAAATGAAAATAGTATCCAAAAAGAGCATTTCCCATTAAAATAAACAAGACAACTAAATGCTATTCAAACTGGACACCTGTGCTAGAAAACAATGTGTCCTCTACCATCATAACATTATAGAGAAGACAAACAATGCTTATTCAAACACACCACACACACAAAAGAAACAAAACCACGTATGTTATGACTTGGCATGGAGGTGCTTTTCTTCAACTCCTTGCCTCACTAGTTTACAACCTAAAACACAAACTTCAGCATATAAAGCTTATTGAGTTTGTGGGGAAATTTCACAACCACAAGATACAGACAAAAGCAAAAACCAATATAGACATACAAATCAACAACCTATAATTTTATAATTTATGTAAGAAGGATTCTTGTGAAATGATTTCGGAGTAAAAAAGGAAAAAGAAAATGAAACTGGCAAGACTTCATGAGGGTGAATTGTTTTGTTTATCTTGCCCACTGTTCTCTTCAGGACTGCTTTCCTGCTCACGAATAACCGAAGCAGTACCGCAATCCTCATTATGTCTTCCCTCACTCTCATTCGTTGTTTGTGCCTGCACATTTGACGCTGAATTTGTTTGCTGCTCTGATATCAAGCTAGTAAGACCATTTTGCTTCAGGTAGGTCTCAAGAGGGAGATTTGCTTCTTCAAGAAGACTCGTCATGCTCACATTGTTTGGCCCAGCCTGCACGTCGTCTCGATCAGGTTGGCAATTCAAGTCTAATTGTCCTTTGGCAGCTTCAGCCACATGGTCTTGACTCCTAGAATCCAACTCATTTGGCACCCTCGCTTCATTCTCTGAAACATCAACTGGAGTTAAATGTCGAGAGGTGCTGTCTACTACTTCTGATTCATCCTTGGTCCGCCATGATAACTGATTTCTCTGAGCAATCTCTGCCTCACGTTCGGATTGACGCTTTTTCTTTCGCATCATCAGGGTTTTGAATCGACGTTTAACTGTCATGCACACATTACAGGTGCATGTAGGTTTGTGTTTGCCCTTCCCACTTGGTGGCTGGATACAGACAATGCAGGAGCACCCAGGTCTATGCCGAGGATGTTTTGTAGTGGTGACGACTGGTGTCCTGCCAGAGTCACTTGCATCATCTCCGAGTACGGCTGCATTTGCCAAAGCATCCAATCCTGAAGATTCATGTTCCAGGGATGGTCTGTGGATTGCTGCCAATCTTTGTTTCCTGAATTCTATTAAAAATAAAGAATTTAAGCATGTTAAATATCATCAAGAATTTGATAACAAGGAAAACATTCGTGCATTTATAATAGTCAAAGAATCACCATCCTTGATCATGCAGCATAATTTGGGATTACAGATTTGTTAGTTTCTTCAAGAAATACAATTTGACTAAAAAGGGTAAGCACAAAGACGAAGTGGCAAGACAGAACTGGTTAATATAAGCAACATTGTGCGGTATCCACCCCTTACAATAAATCTTAGTTGTCCAGGTCATTTTTGTCATGTTACTGGCACATAAAGTATGTTCTTAAAGTGGCGGGTCAAGATCAGTTAAGAATGTTTAAAGAAGTACTACATAGCATTTGAAAGCCATTATGTGAAACCCTTAGTATGCTTATGAGTTAGGATCAGTATTCCGGCAATAAAAAATAGAACTATAAGATGCCTAAGAATTCAATACCTCAATATTTTAACCATCCCGTGCACATTTTAAGTTTTTTTTTTTTTTTTTTATTATTATTAATTGATATACTCAAATAGTTTTATATTACCATGCAAAATTCCTCTCCAAATAGCTTTAAAATGATTGTAATGACATAACAATGCATTAATACTCGGGCATCCAAACACTTGCAGATATCCGTCTACAATATAGTAAGTGTTTAGCTTGACCAGTTTGAAGTAGAACTTACAGACTAAATATTTAAATAAGATACTAAAGAGGTTTTTGTCTTCCAGTTATGTGAGCATGTGTGTCTGCGTGTTTTCCCTTTTCAGAGACACAAAAAGGGAAGAAATAGAAGGACAAAGCTAGGAGCAAGGAACTAGCTTAATAGTTAATACAGATACTCTTCAATGATAAACCCACTCATCAAAAACAGCATCTGATCCCAATTTAAATTGGAAACAAGTTTGGCAGCCCCAGTCTACCAATATCCTAAGAAAATCTATTTACCAAAATATTCAAAACTTAACATTTACAAAAGGAATCTACTTTGAGTTACAAATACAAGTGTGTGGATCAAAAGAAAGTCTATGTAAATACCAATAGGAAAATGCTTCTAGAAAAGCATGGCTTCACAATGCAAACTTTTCCCATGAAACCATTTCTACTGGTAAGTATTGATCAGCAGTAAATAGAAAGTATAATGAATGCAAGAAATGGAGAAATACCTTTGTTCAGTCTCAGAAGATTATCCAGTTCCCTTGGGTTCAATTCACTGGGAGCAGAACATGAACACCTGTTGACAGCAATACAGAAGCATAAAGGTCTTCTTACTAAGAAAAAGTATTGGTAACAACAGCATTGCACTAGAAAGTCTTCTGCTCACCTGCTCTGATCCCATAAATTCTCCATACATGTCCACCTTGGGGGAATAAGTACATCAATTGGCAACTTCCGCCATTTTGAGCAACTATCACACTGTGTCCACTGCTCATTTACCCTAAGGTCCAACAGTTGAAATACTCAATCAAAATATAATGCTTATGTATTGGTACAACTTGTAAAAGAAATCATAAAGTTCAATAGCAAATATAAAAGAAAATAGAAGGGATGGTAGGAGAGGAAAAAACTGACAAATGCAATAAAAAGAAAAAACTCTAATGCACATATTCATCTTACCCGGTTGATCGAACTACGAATATACTCCTCTTTCCAAAGACGGGAGGCTCCTGCATGAATTGAAAGTAAGTCAACTCCTGTGCAAGGTCATAAACAGGCTATATCATAAAATTTAATGATGTTCACCTAGTCTCCAAGTGGAGGCTTTACTTAAAAAGCTTATGTATTAACCACAGAAACAAATTTCATATATTTTTGCTTTACATGTAATCCACATAAATCTAAGCACCACCATATGAGAAGCATAACATGAGCTGAGACACAATTTATAGCTCCAATATTGGTTAGTGTCTTGACTTACACTGTCGCAAGCAAATTTCCTATACACACATTCCCTAAAAACAAAGACTTTCTATAACCTGAAATTAGAGGGGTTTTTTAAACAATTTCAAACTAGAGGGCTGTTCTAATAGATCTGAAAATTGCAAATCGGAGGAGAGGTCAGCCACTGATGTATGCTGTACTGCCCATTTCTTTTTTATAAGTCATATTTTCTTCTTTAGATTTAGACTCAAGAAGATGGAAGAAGTTTAGGACAAGGTGAATGCATTAAGAAACACGTTAGAATGAAAGGCTCCTATTATGTATTTTGGTGAAAGTTGGTGTCTGAGTTAAACAGACACCAAAAATATCAGCTTGACCACACACACACTAACAGAATGGGTGATTTTCATAAAAATTGCTGCTTTTTATCGAGAGTTTGCTTACTTCATATTCTTCAAACACATGATCCTCAATCCTAACAATGCTTGGTTTAACAGTTGGAGGTGGACGGAGCAAATCTTGAGCTTCTTCCCAAGTAAGTTTCAGCTCCAGTGCATCCTGGCTATCAATAAGTAACCTCTTGCTTTTTGATCCAATATTCCGAGTTCTTTTCTTCTCAGGAACCACCACATGTGGCAAAGGTAGCCCCTCTCTTTTCCTGTTTTCGGGCATGTCAATGTTATGCCAATTCATGTCACCACCAGCTGAGTTCCAGTTTTTAGATAGCACATTTAGGTGGGTTTCTGCACATCCCTTTTGTGACTGAAGAAGGCCAGAGTAACCACTTAATATAGGTAGATTCTCATAAACACCAGAATAGGAAGTTTCACTTGAATGAGAACCATTGGGCATATTAGACGGTAGTGTTTCCTGCTTAATAGGTGATTAAATATCAATTCTGAAAAATTGAGCTTGCTATGTGAACTAAAAGTGGCTTTTACCTGTACTGCTGTAGAATTTGTTGCCTTCCTGAACCCCATTATAAGTTTCCCCTCAGGGTCCATCCGGCTAAATGTTACTGCAGAAATATTAGAAAAGAAAAAGTTTTAACAAATTTTTGTAACCAAATTTGAAGATGAAACTAAAATTAAAGAATAAAAAAAAAGCCAAAACATGTTGCAATTGAAACTTAGAAATGGTACAGAAATCAATTGCTTTTCAATTAAGAGAAACCAATCAAATATATACCCAAAAACACAAGCAACATTTAGTTCAGTGCTAATGGTACTTTGTTCAAAGAAAAAAGTAAAAAGCAGTAAAGTTACACAAAACATCATAGTCATTCTCACAAAATAAAGAAAAGAATAAAAAATGCTTTGGAAAAATCATTTGCAGTCAGTATCTTAAAACACCACATCTTTTAGGTATGATTATTGATTAATAGGCTGAGTTAAAAATTGGCAGAGATTCTTCTGAAAATTTTTTTTGTAAAAGACCCGTAGCTTATCTATTCTAAGAAAAGGTAAGTTTCCATGTGGTTTATCTGATCTCAGAATTCGCAATTTAACAAATTAAGGTTTCTCAGTAAACTATACCAGTATCTCCAGCTTGCAATTGCATAGACTGAATGCAGGGCGTTACACCTTCTAAAACATACATCCTACTGTTATTATTTGGCCAAAATCTAAATTGGAACATCCATTCTTTTCCTTTCACATCTTGGATTCGTAAAGGAAGGCCTTCAGGTTGAGAGATTGGAGGGAAATATGCCTGCACAATGCTCTTTTCTTTCAGTTCTAACAAATTACAAAACTCATCAAGAAAAATAACTTTTAGTGGAGTGTTAGTTAATATAAAATGACAACAGTAGAAGCCAGTTCAACAGATAAGATAAATTACTTCAGCACATGCTTTTGGCAAAACCAAGCGACCAATTCGACCAGCATCACTTGCACTAAGCATCTTTTCAAAGAGTGGCACAATTGTGGAATTTGAACTTGAACATATCATGAATCATGGTTAAGGAAATATTAAGGTAAAAAGTGCCAATCAAAACATAACAAGTTTATCACCCAGCATAAATCTCCTGCCACTGATTAATAATTTATAGTACTAATTACAATGCTGGATACTCTCCTGATATTTGTTGCAGCTCTTGATCAGTAATCCTAGGCCAATAACGTGGAAGCAACTGATTCCTCCCCCGTCCTTCAGCAGGAGGCCTTGCTACACGAATCTGGGATACCATGCCTGCATTTGCTTCTAAGCCTGTACCAAGAGTTGACCTGGGGGGCTTAGGTAAAAGATGGCGAGACCTTGACCCCAACAAAAGTGGAGGAGGTGTTTTACTTTGTTCCCTCTCATCAACAACAGCACTATGAAAGGGATTTGAATTTCCTAAAGGGGCAGCAAGGGTCATACTCAAATTTGTCTGTGCTAATGACTCATATATATCTCGCATGTCAGTGTCAGCCTTACAGTTCTCTGCTTTGGAAGCCTTAAATGATCCATTAGACTCACAATGAAATTGTGATATCAAAGTGCTTCCAAGTTCTCCAACAGAAGGAAAAATTTCTGGTTTCATTTCTGTAGATGGTCCATCTGTTTCAAGATTATGGGGTTTGAGCCAGCACCTAAGCCCATCATTCTCTGCATAATGCCCTGCTTGCGTACCCCTCACATTTAATTGGTTAGCCAGAGATCTGCACTGCTGTGCACCTACATTTTTTACCTTTGATGTCCCAGATACATTGGGCTTTTCATTACTTGCAACCTGTCAAATTATCATATAGTCAATTTTGTGGACATACAATTAGACTTGAAAATTCAATTATCAGCACAAAATAATCATATATGTAAGAAGCAACAGCCCATTTATGGCAGCACAGATTTGAATAGCAGATCTTCCAGAACAAAGTTTTTATTGTTACCTAGATTATAGAACTTTCAATTTACCTCAGAATGCTGAATAATTAACTAATCAAACCTAATGATAAAATGATTCAGTCAAAATTAATCTAAAAGTTAAGACTTGCTAACATCATAGATATTAATCTATTTGAAGGAGTTGAGCATCAATAAAGGCAACAATATTTCATGTGTTTCTGTAGTTGTGAACATAAATGTTTATCTAAATAAGTGAAATGATAAAAGTATTTTACAGGTTGGTGTCCTGAACTCCTTGCACAGCTTATACAGCTTACACCACCAGTATCTAGTAATTCAAGCTGAGACACGGAAGCAATGCATCCGCAATGGAGACGCTGCAGATAATAAATCATATAGGATCATCAAGCTTTGCGTAGCACATGGAAATACCAAAATTGGGTTACAAAAATTTCTGCTAGTCTCATATATACTCTGCCAAAGTACCAGAATACATAAATTTTTCTGAAGTCTACCTTGCCACATGAAGTGCATTCTCTCCAACCAGAATCATTTGAGTGGAACATATCACAATATGTTGATTGCTCGTAAGCAGAACTAGAGTAGAGAAAAAAAGCAGGAGTAAGAATCTGAGCATGAACTCTTGGTAATGTACACAACTTCAATTAAGTAAAGAAGGTTTGCAGGCTTATTGATCAAATCAATACATAATCTGAAGGTCACATGTTATCCAGATGACTTTTGTTTACAATTTACACAGAACTTGAGTTTGGAAATGAAAATTGTAAGAGCAATCCCTCATGATATCATCATTACTTGCTTGAAAACTGTCACGAGACAAATTAATGGAAGCATATGCATTAATTTCAATAATTTGTATCCGAATTATCATATGATGTCATCCTATACTCATTCCATGTTTCCTAAACGGAATGAGTTTAGGCACCGTTCAAATTCAACATGTTATGGAAAATAAAATTTCAGCCAGATGAAAGCCTTGTTGCAGTGTATCTCAGACAAACTTTATAATCATACAAATTGGTTGTATAACTATCATGTTTTCCAGTCTTTACTATTTATTTTTGTTCCCATCGATCTATCTATATCCATATCTATATTCTATATATCTATGTAAAATTTACTACAAATCTATTATTTAATTCTTTTCAGAATTTACTTATATATAAATTAAATTATAATTGATTTAAGATTATTAGAATTCATAAAAGACAACAGAAAATTTAATAACAATTGATTGAATTTAATTCCAAAAATTTATTTAATAACTATGAAATGTATTTAAGAAAAAATTATTAGAATTTATTGGATATAAGAATTTTATGTTGGTAGTTATAAGATGTTAAAAATGGAAACAAAATATTTGCCATAAAATATATTTAATAAAATTTATTCAAATTGATATATAAAAGTGGAGAAGCTGACTATAGAATATTTAAAAAGAAAAAATTATTAATTACCTTAGTTATCTTTATTTAAATAATTTTATTAATTTAATATATTTATCAATAGAAATTTGCATTAAAAATTAAAATAAAATTATTTTCAGGCATAATTAAAAATTATTATTTTGTATATTATTAAATTATATTTTCTATATATATATATAAAATTCACTCCAAACTATTATTTAATACTTTACATAACTTAATTATATATGAATTTAAATTATAATTGATTTATGATTATTATGAATTTCTAGTTTTCTGAAAAATCTATGCTACATCGTATTTATTACAAAAAAAAATTTGGTCACTTATTCAAAAAAGTAAGAAAAATTAATACGGTGAGTCATGAACAGATGTCATAAACAATGTTTTAAATTGTGGTATTTGGTCAGCAGCCAAAATTACGCCTCGGCGACCCAATTTTACCGACGATAAATTCAATAAATAACTCCCTATTTTTAAGAAAGAAAGAAAAGAAAAAAGACTTATAGGCGTGTACACGGCACTACACTAACTTCAGAAAATCGGGAGCAAAAGAAAACAAAAAAGTATCCACAAGTCAAAACATAGATTAAGAAAGACATTAACTCCTTCAAAGTGAATTTAAAAGATAAAAAAAATTAAAATCCCAAAGCAACAAACAATTAACAATAAGAAAACCATAAATCTCATATCAATTAGAAATCTAACGTATCATTACCCGCACTTATCACAGAGATCGGCGATTTCGCCGGATCGCAGGGCCCAACCTTTGCGCCACCGAATCGAAGTTAAGGTGGCGCATGCCACGTTCATGCAACTCCTTGACTCCATTTTCAACTTCAATTCCACAAGCTCTATTTTCACTGCATCATACAAAAATTCCGAAAAATCAAAACAAAAACCCTAACCGTTACCTCACCTACTGGTTCAACGGACGCGAAATCCAGCGACGGAGGAGCGTCCATACAGAAATTAAGCCGAAGATAGAAGCTCGAGATGCTAATCTGCTTCGCCGGAAGCTAGCGAGGAGTAGCTCTGGTCGCCGGAAGTTTTAGGGAGTGGAGGCGCGGCGAGTGCTGCGGTTAATTTGGGATTGGCATTCGCGTGGAGGAGCGGCAAAGCGAATATTGATCGGAAGGTAGTCGGAATCTGAACGGAGGAGAAGAATCGGAGAGAGATTTGAAAGGAGGGTGACTGGAGAGAGAAGAGAGGGTGGAACAGAGAGAGAAAGGAGGCGTGTGCATGCAGAATAAGAAAGGAGAAAGAAAGAGGCACCAAAATGCATGCACGATGATTATACTTCAAGACTCGGCCAACTCCTCCACTTGCTTACCTTTTTATTTTTAATTTATCATTATTCTTTTTGTAAATTTATTATTATTATTAATGTGTTTAATGACCCCAAAAAATTATAATAATTTTATGAAAATTTAAATAATCTATCGTATTAATAATATTAAATATTATAATTTTTAATAAATATTTACTATTTGTTAATATTAATACTTTTATTGAATATGGTATCGTACATTAAAAATTCTATTTTCAAATTATTTTTATTATCATTTTTTTTTTGGTGTCCCTGTTACTTTTACGTAAATGTTAAGGGTTTATTTGTACAGATGACCTTCAAAGGAAATATGGAAAGAAAAGTTTTTTTTTTTAAATTATGGTTTATTTATATTTTAAATGCTTAATTTTATTTTAGTTCTTATAATTTTATTTATGTTTAATTTTAATCACTCAATTAATAATTCTTAATTTTTTGAATTGTGTAAATTAATTTTTTTTCTAAAATTTTATATAATTAATAAAAATATAAAAAACATGTATGATATATTATTAATTTGTACTAATTCATATAATATAATTAAATGAAATTAAAAATTGATCGTATTTTTATACATATTATTTATAATTTGTATGTAATTATTTACTATATTTATATTTATTAATTTGGATAAATTAATATTATATTTTTTTATTAATTATTGATGATATTTTTATGTGAGAAAATTTATTTGAATAAATGAAAAAATTTTAAAATTTAATATATATAATTAAGATTAGAGACTAAAAGATAAAAGTAAATATGAAATGGTTGACAAATTTATTATTTAAAATGAGAAATATCGCAATCCTTCGTCTCAAACTCTTTTATTTAAACATAAACTATATTATCAATAATTCTCAACATAATTAATAAATAATTAAGGCTTCTAAGTGTGTTGATTAGATTTTGATTTTTAATTATGGTCGTTAAAAAGGTTTAATTAAAACATATTATACTCATTTCAGTAATCATTTTATTTCAAAAGGTGTTTTATCCAACTGTGGATAAGAAGATAACATAATGTACAAAAATATAAAGTAAATAATTAGAAAATACATTATTAGTGTACATATAAAAATATAAACTAAATTATTGAAAAATGCATAATGTATAATATGTTTTACTTATAGAAGAAATTATATATTTTTCTCTTTCCCGTTTATTATATTTTTATAATATAAATGTAATGAATAGTTTTTAATAAAAATTTATCACTTTTAATGGTTTAAAATAGATTTTAAATATTAAAGTAATTTTTTTATAATTCATTACCTATTTACCTCAACTTTCTCTGTAATGCATTATTCACTCATAATCTTATCTTTCACTATATATCCACTCTTTCACCTGTTATATTGAGTTTATTCTTCTTAGCTTTTTACCGTCCAACACTCAGCTTCATATAACATTATGTCTTAAAATCATGTTATAATTTTCTGCCTTAATTATATATGAGTGATACCTTTTATCACAATAATATTGAAGGCGATCATCCATTCATCGTGTGGGTAGCAGCATCAAGCTTTTATTTTTGTATTGTTTTATTCAATTGTTTTAAAAATTAAATTATCTTGAAAGTCTAAAACAAAAATATAAATAATTAAAAGATAAACTATAATCAAGCATTAAAACATTGAACTTGAATAACAATGATTGAAAATATCGTCATTGAAATATAATATACTAAGAAGTAAAATCATAAAATTGAAAACCTCAAATGAAAAAATACAAATACAAAATATTCAAAGGCTTCCATTTTTTAATATGACTTCTTAAACGAAGGAAAAATGTTTTGGAAGGAATTAATTATTAATTTTTTTTTATTTTCGAACGTATTCTATGAGCATCATATTTTAACTTTTATGAAAATTTATATTTTAATTTCTCAACATTTAATAAAATATAACTCCGGAATCTTTTTTCAGAATAAATCAGACAAAAAAATCCAAAATCTAAAGTAACAGATAAATACGGAGAAAACAAAGCTTGTAAAGCGAAAATGCGACGGCTAGCACCGGAAAATGCGCCACTTAAGATACAACACCTTTTGATGGATTTACTTTAGTATCCTCCACATATGTAACTGAGCACTGTATTCAACACTCGACGAGCTTTGTCCCTTTTCGTCCATTCGCCAATTTCCATTTGAATGTGGACCCGATTTGACAGTGGTCAACGATCAAGTTGGTAGAATGGAATTTGCGAAGCATTTTGCGGGTTACAATTATTTGAAGAAACAAATATTAAGATGTATTATGGAAAAACATTGGTATACGATGATGAAAAGATTAGGGGATTATAATAATTAATTAAAAGTTAAAAGTAATGTTAATATTTGAGAATAGTTGTAGTGACGTGAATGTGTTGGGAGATGACGAGTAAGGGAGAGAGGGTGACGCAAAAGAGAACGAAGAATGAGTGAGGAATCACGTCGACAGGTAAAGGACAGTGACAGAACCATCTCCATCTGAGTTAGTAGTGGCAGTGGCACGCGTGATCGGTGTGGCTGCGCACACTCACTGTTCTCAACGATAAACCTGCTTCTTGGTTTTCGTTTGCACACTCCCAATATATAATAAATTCATCATCTCATTATTTCAATTCATTATTATCTTAGTATTAAATTACGGATTGTATAAATTTATTCCTATAAATTATATTAATTATTAAATAAAAAATATATAATATATGTTATGTATTCAACGTTTACTTTTATTTAATATTTTTTAGAATAAAATATTAATATATATACTAAAAAAATTATATTATACTAATATTAAATGGATCAATAGTATATATTCATATTTTGTATTAATAGAAAAACATTTTGTTAGTTTTTATATTATAATATTCATATAAAATCCCAATGTTGAATTAATAATTTTTTTAAAATTTAATACTAAGGAAGATTAATTTAATATTAAACAATAATAATATTTTTTTGAAGTGTTAAAAAATGTGTACAATAAATGATATTTTTACTTACTAAAATAAATTAGTTATTAAATTCATAAAACTTGTTTATTAAATTTTATCAATTTAATTTTAATCTATTATTAGTGTAAAAAATTATATGTACATTAGATATTAAATTTAATTAATTATTCTAATTAATATAATAATTCATAATTAGATTATAATATATGTAAAAAATAATAATTTAGTATAATTTTTATGATTTTAAATACATTCATAAAAATAGCTTAGATATACTAGTATTTTTTGCACATCAACTTTTTCTAGGCAACTAACGTTCGTTGTGTATGTATCTTGTCTTGTTGAACCAAAATATCTCATTGATTTCACCGTTCATATGATCGTAAAAAAGGCATCTCATTTACAAACTTGTAACTTCACTTCAACAGGTCTTAAATAGATTTTGGTCATTATACGAAACTAATTTTTATGTAAAAAAATTTATAAATGAATCTTTAAATAAAAAATATTTTAAAATAGTCCTTTATATTAATATTTGTATAACGAATTACCTCTCTCATGTATATTTATTTTTATTTTTATACATAACATATTTTTTTATTATAATTTTATATATTTGTTATTCTAGTTTTATATATAAAATATAAATTATGAGAATTAAAGTAAAAAGAATGTGCCATGCGTAGAAATTGAAATTAAAATGAAAGAAAAAATATTAGGTAGAAAAATCAAAATGAAACTTACTCTTTAAATTAAATGAGGTTGTGGTAATTCATGATAAGTTATAAAAGAATTTATTAATTTTGAATAATATAGCTGTAGAATAATGGGATTAAAAAAATTGCTATGAGAAGTTAATTTTTGAAAGTTTAGTAAAAGGTATTTTAGTGTGCTTTTTTTTTAATTAAAATTAGAAATTTATCTTAGAATCATTCTTTATTATATTAGTTATTTAAGTAAAATTTTAATTTTAATTATAGACTAATATAAAAAATTATATTTAAGTTTTGTTCATAAAATAAATAATTTATTATAATTAAACTTAGAAGTATGAGCAACTAACCTCTGTTTGTGAGTTTAAAGGAAGAAGGAAAAAATAAGTTTGAAGAGTAAAAAAGAGAGAAAAAATGAGGAAGAATAAAGGTTAATAAAAGAATTTTAAATTGAGCAAACTTAAAAATATAAGCATAGAGTATTTTAAAATATTTATGATAAATTTGTATTTTGATATATTTTTATAACATATTTTTTATATAGTTAATTTTTTTATTTAAATAAATTTTATATTAATTATTTTATTGATTATCGAAGTTTGACATGTTTAGAGTTCTAATAGATTATTAAAATATTTTTAACATGAATTGATAGAAAACAGAGTAAACATCATGTTTCGAGCTCTTGCATATTAGTATGCATAACCATGTTCCTTTATTGGTGCTTCCAACTTAGAAACTTTGAAGAGATTTATAAAGAAAGAATTTGAATTTTAAATTAACAAATAATATCTCTTTTTATATATTATACTTTATATCTTATAAAGTATAATATATAAAAAGCGATGTGATTTGTGTTTGTAACATAATCATGTTTCAAATTGTATAAAGTAAAAGAAAATTAACAAAATCAACCGCAAACTCCATTTACATGTTTATAGAAGAGAGGACATTAATTTACATATATGACAAACAATAAATGTCAAATGATGTATTTTTTTTTATACTGTGTATACAAGACTAGTTGATTACATAAATTTTAGTTCATGAAAAGGTAGGGCAGGACTTATAAAAACTTTAGAAAAAATTATTAAAAAGGATTATATAATAATCAATATCTTAAAGAATTTAATTTTATCAAGTTTAATGCTGTCTTATAATCTATGTGATTAACTTCTATTAATGGGATAAGATTTGATTAGCTATGATATTATCAATATGCCAAGATACAGTTGATTTTTTATAAATCTCTAACATGCTACTTATACTTGGGATCTAAATTCTAGACCGCATACACACACGAAGACATATAACCATTTTTCATTACATTTCTAACACTG